TCACTGCTGAACTGTGGTTGGCTCCGGCTGTGATGGATAGTTGCCCAGGTGATGAGGTTTTGTACATGATCTAATTGGTGGCAAAGGGCTATCTGTTGTTGCAGTTGCTCATCCAGGTGTTGCCTGTGATTGCTGCAAAGCTTCTGTGATGTCCAGAGTAATAACCCAAACAGGTATTGTATTCAGACAACAACAATAACAACAAAAACAACAATAAAAACAAGCCACAAATCACTAGATTTTTTTTACATAACATCAATAACCCAAACAACATTACAAGAGACAACAACTCAGACCCCACTAAACTTTTAAATTCCAGCGCTTTCTTTGACTTTACTTCAACATGCCGAGTGTGTGTTGGCTGTCTATAGGGGTAAAGTAGACTATTTCACATGAATGGTATACTGTACCTCCAGTTCCTTGTTTAATTGGTTGATGAGTTTATCCAGCTCCTCTGATATGACTAGCTTCACCATTTTGATGTGGTCCTCTGCCTTCCTGTTTACAATTTTGATGCTTTCTAACCTAAACATATATAAATCACTGTATTACATGCTAAGGCCCTCAGATTTACTGAAGTATTTTTTTTAAAGGGAATTAAACATTGCAGACCAAACAAAAATATAAAATAAAGGTGAAAATTAAGAATAGGACATGTAAAGTATAAATCAAGTGAGTTTCATGTATAGGCGACACGAACGACAACAACGTAGCATTTCCATACAAGGCAGCTGAGCTTGATCTACTCACTTGACCTCTGCTGGTCTCTCTCTTCCCTTTACTCACTTGACCTCTGCTGGTCTCTCTCTTCCCTTTACTCACTTGACCTCTGCTGGTCTCTCTCTTCCCTTTACTCACTTGACCTCTGCTGGTTTCTCTCTTCCCTTTACTCACTTGACCTCTGCTGGTCTCTCTCTTCCCTTTACTCACTTGACCTCTGCTGGTCTCTCTCTTCCCTTTACTCACTTGACCTCTGCTGGTTTCTCTCTACCCTTTACTCACTTGACCTCTGCAGGCCTCTCTCTTCCCTCCACTCACCTCAGCTGTGTCTGATTGGCAGAGTTCTCCACAGCAGACCTCTTCTCTTCCACCTGGGCTCTTAGGTCCTCTGTAGCTCAGCTGGTAGAGCACGGGCGCTTGTAACGCCAAGGTAGTGGGTTCAATCCCCGGGACCACCCATACACAAAAATGTATGCACGCATGACTGTAAGTCGCTTTGGATAAAAGCGTCTGCTAAATGGCATATTATTATTATTATTATTAGGTTCTCCAGAAGCATAATCGCTGCTCCCCAGGGGCCTCGCTCATGTGCATGTTGGCAGTGGCAATGGCATGGCTGCAGCTGTATGTTGTTTGGGCCCATGGCCATTTCATAAGGCTGATATGTGTTCATTATCTATGAGATGTGCCTGCTGTATTCCTACAAAGGCCCCAGCCATCATGCATCATGTACTACTCTTTTGGTTGGAGGTTAATGCTGGTGCATTTTCACAGGGGCCAAAAACCTGCAGGTAGGATTGTAAGCTGTATGACGTGGAATGGTGTGTGTTGGTGCACTTCATACACAATGACTTCTTACAGAGGGCACACACACCTTTCTATCACCATCTTCGTCATATTCAACCTCTGCTTTCCTCATTCTCTTCAAAGTCTTCTTCCTCTCTCTCCTGTTCCCTTCCTCACAGCGGGAACAGCTTAGGTAGAGGCAGTAAGTTCCCACACTCATAACAGAAGTTCCTTTGGTTCCCGCTTTGTCTCTGTAGCCTTTTTCCACTCGACCATTCCCAACAAAATACATGACAAAACACAAAATCACTCCGCTGTTTTCTCAAGGAAAACTGGTTCCTCATACAAAACTGTTCATTTTAAGTCTTATTCTTCTTCTTTGGTATATTGGCGGTCTGCAAACAAATGTTATAGGTGCATGCCACCACCTATTGTATTGGCTGTGTATCAGCCTACTATTCTGCAGTATGAAAAAAAAAGAAAAGGAAAAAAAATTGCCCTACCAACTAACCGTGCACCCATTAAAACCTCACCACTATTCCGCTACTTTGGCCCCATCTGATCCTACTCCAGGCCAACAGCCTGGGAGGACGGGACACTATCGTTCAAAACATCTTGTAACTCTTCTGAAGTAATATCTCGTACACCCAAGTACTTCTCTGCAGCTGCCACCACAACATCTATCCTCTGTGATTAACGTTCCATTCCTGCGGTACAATTGACAACCATGGCCATGAACGCCAAAATACCAACCTTACTGAAGCACATTATTCCTATCACTCTCTATTGACCTTGGTCTACTCACAGGGATACTCTTAGGATGCCTTACCCTGGACCAATCTTCCTCTGCTACTCTCTTCACTGCATCAGCATACGACACCTTCTGCACTTCTCTGATCATGGCAACCTCAACCTGTGTTCCACTTTTCTCCTGTCCTCCATCTTACCCCCACCTCATGGCCAGCTAAACGTTTTATCACAACCACAACCTTCATTTTGGTCTATTCAAACAGACTCATTAAGATCAGGTGTGGCCAATTAGTGGGCTTGGCCAACACACCTGAACACGCTTCACAAGATAGAGGATAGAGAACGTTTTGTTGACGCTGAGAAAGGAATGTATATGTTTTTTTTAAAATAACATTCTTAGAACCTTCTCGGAGCGCTACTAATGTTTTCTTGTGGTTTTATGGAACGTTTTCTTAATGTTCTCAGAATAAGTTGAGAACATGACCTTAAATAAAACCATTAGGAAATGTTATGCTGAAGTACTGAAATGCCCACAAAAGAACATCGTTTTTTTTTTTTCTCTTTGGGGGTAGATCAGCTTAATATTGCAGATAGATTGTAACTTCCATCAATGTAATTGTCTGCATCACTTCCAATCCCCCATGTTTTTTATATATATACTCCCCTTTATTACTTTTCAACCCCGCCATCCTTTCCCTACTTGGGGTAAATTAGTGAACAGCAATGCTTAGGCATTGTTTCTTAACATTCTCAGAAGAAGTTGAGAACATGACTTTAAATAGAACCATGAGGAAACCTGTAGGGAACGTGTTATGATGAGTTTCTCGGGTATCAAGTAATTCATGATGCAAGAAGATATTTAACACTTAGCTGGGGAGTTCATTTAATATTTAGTAGGTACCATGGTTCGTTATAACAAAATACAGTGCTTTGCCTCTTGCCATTTCCCAACTAATGAACAAAGAACATATCTCACTTATATGCCCTCTGTTACGCGTTTCTTCAACCACATCTGTTAACCATCAGTGGGTACTCTCTTCTCTTATGTTATTCCCTTTTCCCCCAAGTCAGTATATCATATCCATCAATCATTCTACCATAAACATCGGTAATCTCCCATGACATAATGGGATGCAGACTCTGTGGCACCAAGCCACTTATCTAATAACTCTAACCTGGTTCCCACAACACTATGAAAACCTCATAATAGAACGTTATGCTGAAGTACTGAAATTCTCACAAGAGGGGAACGTTGTTTCTTAATGTTCTCTGGACTATTTGAGAACATTCCCAATGTCAAACCAGTTGGAGAACGTTCCTAGAACATTACCAACATTGAAAAGAAATGTAACCATGTTTGAACTTTTAGGAAACGTTCTGTTAAAGTAATGAAATACCAAGAAAGTATTTTTGTCAAGTTCCATAAATGTGCTGAGAATGTTCCAAAGCCAACCCACTGGGCACAGACATCAATTCAACGTCTACTCCAAGTTGGTTCAACATAATTTAATTTAAATGACGTGGAAGCAATGTTGATTCAACCGGTATGTGCCCAGTGGGAAGCAGCTATCCTATTCCCAGAAAGTTGTAGGAAGGTTGTATGCAAAATAACCATAGGACAGACACATTCTCACCAAGCGCTAAGAAACATGGTTCTCAGAATGTTATGTGCTAGCTGGGATGTCAGTTGTCCAACAAAGGTTAATGATAACTGGCATCTGAGCAAATGGAGATATAGCCTAATAAATAAATAGGCCTACTGCAGCTTTGTGTGATCAGGATTTGGTTGGGGGAAAAAACTGCAATATCATTCAGTCTAATTCAGGAATGAATAGCACTGTTTCAATTCATATTCATAAACGTCTCAATTTATCAGCTTGTATTCGACAATACTTTTTTTCTGTGGTCATCTTGGTGTCCGTCCCATAACCCTTAACCCATACCTTAACCATTTTAAATGTAAACTTCAATGGGGTAGGGACGTCCCAAGAATCCTGTATAGCACGGACCGTCCGTCTGATGTCGCTGTAGGTTCCTTTGAAAGTTGTGTCGCGTTGCAAATCTCGTACAAAACCGTGAGATTTCCAATTCGCGTTCCTCTTTAATATCTCCTCCAAGATGGTAGGTATCGTCATCTATACCGCTGCTGTAGAAATTGTCTTAAATCTATGGCCATCCTGAGTTTGCGAGTAGAAAAAAACACACATTTATGAAGTTGTCTTATATGTGATAGACAATGTCCCGCTCCCCTGTCACTATTACTGATTATGCGGTAAAGAAACGTAAACCGGCGAAAACTCCGATGTTGGATACAGGCCGTCCAAAACTAGCTAGTTACCTAAGTTTACAATTTACTGATGATGTTACGATGGCGTAAATTAGATACATTTTGTCACGGAACTCATCTTGTAAAATGTGTTGTATGCATATTGTAATACTTACAACCTTGGCCATTGTGACCAGAGATATGTTGTGCTAGCTTAGCTTTCTAGCTAACTAGTCATTTAGCTGCAAACGTTACCTGGCAGTGGTAGGGTGAAAGCGAAGGTAAGGCTCGAGCGCATTTTGGCCAGATGTATCTTTATCAACATTCTATTTGGTTATTGGCCAGGCTGTGAAGTGTTCTGTTTGGTGGTTGACATGACATGCTTGGCTAAAAAGGTAGTGTAAATTAAGCCTACTGGTGGGCCAATCATGCCTGTGTTGCTACCTGGCTTGCTAACCTCGTAAATGATGTCTTGCAGCCCACCAAGAAGACCAAGACCAGGAAGCTCCGAGGGCACGTCAGCCACGGACATGGTCGTATCGGTGAGTTGAGCATAGTCAGCATTGGTGATACTTGTGTGTTTTAGCGTAAGCTATTACAAGATGTGACCTGTCGTTTCTCTTCCTAGGCAAGCACAGGAAGCATCCTGGAGGTCGTGGTAATGCTGGTGGCATGCATCACCACAGAATTAACTTTGACAAATAGTGAGTAGAGCACTTTTACCTTGTCTGGTTCCGTTTGACACTATTCGGCATATTTTACAGCAAGCCTACACTGCGTTGTTTGGTGGCTTCAGTAGTAAGAAAACATCAACGTTGTTTAAGAGAGTGATTGTCAGAGACTCAGAGTCTCATCTTGACAAACACCGTTGTCTTGGTGTGCTAGAGTTCTCTCAGAGTGAAGACTGGTCCTATTCACCGACTGGCCTTCTCATAGGCCAGTCACCCACATGGGCAGTTACAAGTGTCATACATTGTTGCCAACACATCTATATGTCCAATATATAGTAGATTGCTCACATTACTGAAGGTTGTGGGATGAAATCATCCCTTGTCACTTTCATTTTGTGCATCTGGTAAAGTTACTATTGACAATGCTTTACCTATAAGGAAATAGTCAGGTACTTACAGTGTCCTGATGGATTTGCTTTCCTACGGCTTCAGATCTCATCAGTTGATTAGATTGTCATCATGGCAAACTATGTTATAAAGTGGCAATATAACTTTTTGGGCGATCCGACCCAAATTCGGATACAAATGTGGGTTATAGATCTATCATTCGACTAAGAAGCGGTAGATCTGTACGATGTGCGCTATTTCTATGCTTCCCGTTAAGGTCTGTTTTTGTGTCTCAGTTTTGTACACCAGCTTCAAACAGTTGAAAGAACAATATTTTCGGTTATGGAAAATATATTTCACAGCAGTTTAGATGGTACAATGATTCTCTACACTATACTATCTTATTTTGTCACATAAACTGAAATTAGGTGCACTATTTGTTTTATCAGTCAGGAAATGGCTGAGTGATTTCTGTATAGTGCAACTTTAAGGGTGGATTTGGTTTACATCTATTAGCATACCGTAAATACCATAGTATATAGACAAACAAAATAAGGATAGCAATTCAAACTACACAGGATCTTCTCATCTAAACCATATTGCAGTGTTGTACACTTGACTAATGCAATTTTTTTAATCAAATGTGGCTATTTTATGAGCCTTTAAATTTTTTAATTTGGCCAACAGAGAAAACATGCTGTCTACTGATATTAAGGTAATTCTCGCAGGGACACGTGGTGTGGGAGAGCCGTTGTCTTTACACTGGACGACTCAGGGGGGGTGTGTGGTGCAGATATCTCTTTTGGCGGTAGTGTGGGAGACATCTAGTGGTTTGACTCTAGAACCATCTCTTTACACCAGTATCTCTCCTGGACCTAGTTTGTGTCGTCAATGTAGAGGCCCTAAGACTGAACTTTTACTTTCAGCTTCATCACCAGTATCAATTGGTGTAACACGATGTGCTTGATATCTCACCTGTCTGGTCTCCTATGTGCCTCCACAGCCACCCGGGCTACTTTGGTAAGGTAGGTATGAGACACTACCATCTCAAGAGGAACACGGTGCACTGCCCCACTGTCAACCTCGACAAGCTGTGGACGCTGGTGAGCGAGCAGACCAGGCTCAACTACGCCAAGAAGCCAGAGGGCCCCGCTCCCATCATTGATGCCGTGCGAGCTGTAAGTATCTTCCCCACAGGACAGTATGTCTGGTCCCAGATGGAAGGTGATGATTCATACAGTTAATGGGAAACGGTTGGTGTAATGGCTTTTTCTACAGGCCTGTTCTAACACATCTGATTCAGGTAATCATGGCCCTGGTTAGCAGCTGACCGCTACGGTGGTGTTCAGTATGTCACACAGTGAGTGATGCAGCCAGAGACTCAGTCTCATCTTGACAAACACTGTTGTCTTGGTGTGCTAGAGTTCTCTCAGTGAAGACTGTTCCTATTCACCGACTGGTCCTAGGTCAGTCGGCCACATGGACCGTTACAAGTGTCATACATTGTTACAAACAAATCAATTGGCCATATATGAAGTGAACTGAAAACTAAAATGAGTTTTTCTTGCTGGACATGTTCAAGTAGTCTTCAGGAGGGTTGGCCACCCCTGATGAGGATGTTTGTTTTTCACAAGTAGGACAAAATATTTTCCATTACAATCAGCAACAGTAAATGGCTTTATGAGCCCAGCACAGGGTTTACTGACCCAACCGCAGTCATCAGCTGAAACTTAACTGGACTGTTCTAGACCCAGGTTTGAGCAGGAGCTCTTTACCTTCTGTCGGGCAGAATATTTATCTTTAAATGTAGGCATGTGGAGAGCTTGCTTGTGTACTAGCTGGATGTTTAACATGAACTGCTGTAATAAAGTCCCTAATAAGAGCCCTAAACAGATGACAGCCCCCTGCTGTTGAGTAACATTTTGGCTTCTTGACCGCTAGCTCAAGGGTGTCAATAGTTTGTTTTTAAAATCTAGTTTGATGTAGCCATGCTGGCCTCGATGGCACGGAATCTATTGGCGTGAAAGGAGCTGTGTTCAGTGTTTACCCTATATTCATTTAGCAGTGGTGACCTAACATATGCTTAACATATGGAATTGTTTTAAGATGGTCATACCAAGGATCATTTGGCTATTTGATTTTGAATTTTAGGACCCCTGTAAGTATAATTTTTTTATGAAATGTTGAATTTGGCGTTACTGCTATTAGCCGATAGAAATGCATTGAATAACGTATTCATGCATGGCGAAACAGATAGTAAAAAAATGAATTGAAAGGAAGTTTGTTTTGAAGTGTCTGTCCTATATCTAAGTAAATTATTTGTATTTTTACCCATACACTAATTTTTTCCTTCACTGAGCAAATTTCAGATCTGCTGAAATTCTGCATCTTCCAGCGCGCGTTTACTGTGAATACTGAGGCTGTACCCGTTTTCAGTTATTTTTAAGTGGTCAAGTAGGCTACTGTGGCTATTTGATCATAATGTAAGGCCTACCTGAGTGGCCTACCATCAAAAACAATGGAAATGGCTGTTCTGTCATTCAGCCTACAGTAGCAGCCAATGACTCCCCTACTGCTGACTAACAATTATCTATAACTGGGCTAATAACTCACTAACTAGCAAAGGATATGAACAAATGTACAAATGTGCACATGGCGCTACATGTAGTTCTCGCTTTGATCTCAGAACAAGCGCATCTACTCACGACTGCTCATGCTGTAAAAACAGTCCAGTTCAAAGTGAATGGCACAGATCCATATATGGCAATGGTCTATTTGCATATAGGCCTACTGCAGCTCTGATTGGTTATGGTGCACCAGTCTGTGTAGAATATGGGCTTGAGTTGTGCCTGTCAATGCAATAGAATCCTACTCTGATGCATTTTGCATACAACAAAAGCTCTTGCATAGTTAGTTTTGTTTCGGTATGTTGCATTGAGTGGCTAATATTGTGTTAATTTGATCACAATTCCCACAGTAAAGGGAAACGTTGATAGTGTTAACTAACGGGGAAAACTCTAGAAAGTTGAGTGAAGTTCAATCTCGTGCTCAGGCTGACATTTCTTCTGCTGGCAGTCCCGGGGGAGCTGCACACACACACACACAGCTTAGAGGGAACATTGCACTAAAGTACTTCCATAAATGTAACTGGCACCGGGCTACTTTCAAATGTGGCTTGTGGGCGTCCTAGAGCAAAACAACCAACATGTACAGTGCCAGTCAAAAGTTTGGACACCTACTCATTCAAGGGTTTTTCTTTATTTTTGCTATTTTCTACATTGTAGAGTAATAGTGAAGACATCAAAACTATGAAATAACACATATATGCAATCATGTAGTAACCAAAAAAGTGTTAAACAAATCAAAATATATTTGATATTCTTCAAAGTAGCCACGCTTTGCCTTGATGACAGCTTCGCACACTCTTGGCATTCAAATAGTAAAAATAAAGCAAAACCCTGGAATGAGTAGGTGTGTCCAAACTTTTGACTGGTACTGTATGTGTTTGTGAGGGTCTCACCAGGTAAGCCAGTTGAGAACAAGTTCTCATTTACAACTGCGACCTGGCCAAGATAAAGCAAAGCAGTGTGATAAAAACAACAAGACAGAGTTACATATGGGATAAACAAAACGTACAGTCAATAACACAATAGAAAATCTATATACAGTGTGTGCAAATGTAAGTTATGGAGGTAAGGCAATAAATAGGCCATAATGCAAAATAATTACAATTTAGTATTAACACTGTAATGGGAGATGTGCGGAAGATGATGTGCAAATAGAGATACTGGGGTGCAAATGAGCAAAAATAAATAACAATATGGGGATGAGGTAGTGGGGTCATGTTTGTGTGTAGCCCAAACTGTTCTGACGCTACAGACAGAAGTTGGCAGATCAGCAGTACCGACTTCAGACGAGTCCCGTGACTCTTGTATGGGTCGAAGGGCAAAACAGAGAACGCCATAGTTTTCGTGAGTGATCTTTCCAGAGGGGTCGTATTAGTTTTTTAGGCCGAACTGTTCAGACACTATAGACGTTTTCGTGAGAAGACCGATTTTTGGGATGTCTCCTGGTCTGTATCTCTTTCCACCGGAGATGCAGAAGGCTGACATAGGCTGATGCGGTGGATTGAGATGCAGCCCATAGGCTGATGTGGTGGATTGAGATGCAGCCCATGTAAACAGACAGCTTTTGATTGGGATTTTGTCATTATGCTAATTATATCTGCAGCCTATCAATTTGGGGTCACTCATTTTGCAGATTTAAATTTGAGTGACTACATGGCAATGGCATGTTATGGATGTGTAGTTGATAGGACAGACTTTGTGGGAAGGTAGGCGAATCAATGCGATGTGGAACTTTTTTGTTGTTGGTTAATGTTGGTTCTGTCGGTCTCCACAGGGCTACTTCAAAGTGCTGGGAAAAGGCAAGCTTCCCAAGCAGCCCGTGATCGTCAAGGCAAAGTTCTTCAGCCGACGGGCAGAGGAGAAGATCAAGGCAGTGGGAGGAGCCTGTGTGCTAATGGCATAAGCTCCTGTCAATGTTTTTTGAATAAACTGTATAAATGGGGATGGACTTGTCTTGTGGTCTGTCGAAGATGTAAATGTTGCCTGAAGCTTAGCTCACACATTGTTGGGTAAAAGATGTCAAGCAAGGAACCGAATGGATTGATTTGCTGCATAGAAGAACGATGCATAAAATAATGTCTTTGTCACATTGGTCAACAACCCTGGTCCTTGGAGTTACAGGGTGTGCAGACTTGTTCCAACCAGCATGTACACAACTGATTTGATTAATCATGGTGTGTTTGAGACATTGCAGTTGGCCTGGACAGAATCACTGATATACAAGTTACCTTGAATCCCCCAAATAACTGTTAGGATAATAGGATGCATGAGGTGTCAGTGTTTGGCTAGGTCAACCTGCACACACAGTTTTGCAGGACCAGGGTTTGTGACCACGGGTGAGTCAAATACAGTTGGCTGGTCATGACTCAAATTATTTTGATCGCCTGAATTTGCTATAATGAAGTAGGTATACATTCGTAGTTTTGGTATTTGATGTCTTTGTGAGAGTGGTCTGTTAGATACGATTTACATTATCAAAACAACCTAAAAGGGTGACTAATGAAAAACTTAATCATGACATGATTACATCCAGCAGTGTATGTAACCTTTTCACAGCACATTGATGATTCGGGCCATGAGCAATGCCCATTTTTGAATAATATATATTTGAAGTAATTAATTATTGACACCTATGCCAGAATAAATGATTAATTTGGTGAGAGACTGAGCAGGATCGAGTCAATCCAGATTATAAAGGCGGTGCCCTACACCGGAAATGTGACGACAAATCTTTAAAGCAAATTTGGTGCGAGCAAAAGTAATTTAAACAGGCGCAAGTTTTCTGGTAAGTAGCTTTCTGTGAATACATTGTTTCTCGTCCACACAAATTAACGTGATAGGATGGGAATTCGGGTTAAATATTATATTCTCAAATGTAGGGATCTACTCGAGTGCTCACTGCCAGTTGCATTGCTGCTCGTGCGCTGTCAAATCTGCACCCATGTAGCTAGAGCGCACAAAGCAAGGGAGTTTGTGACGTCAGCGTTATGTTTACATTATGCTACAATTTTTCTCTTGTCATAAAAGGGTCGCTTGCCGGTGGGTTGGGTACAGCAGAGATTTGACTCGCCGTGTTGTTTCCTATAGCGAGGCAAGCCTGGCAGATGGAGTTGTCCCTGCTCCGCTCCGCCAGACTCGGCCTGGAAGTACTGGAGCGAGCCTCGAGACGGAGCGTAGACTGGTCTAGTGCGAGTCGGTATCCCAATACAACAACAAAGGATGACACCGCCGGGAGTGAGGAGGTAGGCAGGCCTACGTGTTAATTGAGTACATTTACATGCACACTAATAATTCGATATTAAACTGATTATGGCAGAAGTAATGGTGCTTCGAGGTTACTCTATTTATCTTAATCGGCGTAAAGTCATAATCGAAGTAAGCATACACAGATTAAAACACCTGGTTTTCTGAGCAATCTTTCGAATTATTAGGACATGTAAACACTTTAATCGGCGTTCCAGCGGTGTATTTGCTAGCACCGGCAGCGTAAACTCCCTCTAATGTGCGAGTGGAGTGAGTTCACTGAAGGTATGCATTTTAGAAATGGTTCTCGCATACAAACTTTATGTCCGAACTCGGAATCAAATAGTCTTAGCAAAAATAACATGGTCACTGTGTTAGAAAGTTTATTTTGTTGGCGATTTTCTGCATTTATCAGAAGTCCCATCAGTAGCCAGATTTCAGATATCCCTGTATTGTATACAGGTTTATTAGGGAAATTGTTATTTTTGCAAAGTATGCATGTACACGTTTTAAACGAACTATTATATTAATCTGACTATCCACAATAATTGTGCTATTGTGTGCATGGAACCGTGCTGTCTTTCTTTATGTCAGCTATGTTGTTTTCTCTGGTTTCTTTGTAACGTTACTATGTGACGCACTGGGACATTTTGGGAACTTGTCTCATGCAGTTGCTACATCAATTTTTTGACTATTAAATTAAGGATATGTACCCTTTGATTCTTGAAGAATATAATTTAAAATTGCACTATGCAGAAATCGCTCCGCCATTTCCTGGTTGCTAAAGCTCATAGTTCACCTAATTTCAGTTTGTGACAAAATAAGCTAGTATAGTGTAGAGAATCATTGTACCATCTGTGAAATATATTTTCAATAACCAAAAATATTGTTGTTTCAGCTGTTTGAAGCTGGTGTACAAAACCGAAAGTAAAAGAAGCAAAAACAAAATTGAAGCACTGGAAGCATAGAAATAGCGCACATAGAACATATCTACTGCTTCTTAGACTTGCTTTCAAGTAAAATGATCGCTCTATAAATCACATTTCTATGTGAATGTGGCGGGGTTGCCCAAATAGTTACATATTGCCACTTTAAGTGCCTCATGAGCTTAGTTCAACTGTCATACACCATCAGAACCCAAAATATAACCTTGTTTTACTCCAATGTTTGTAAACAAAGTAAATGTAAACAAACACTATACAGCCTCAAAACATTGTTAAAACTATACTTTTGATATCATAGATGGTCAGTCCTTACATCCATAGCTCTGTTTATGAATGGTTACATTTCTCCAGCCCTATCGCTCAGTTTTTTACCGACGCATGTGTAACCGGTGTGAAATGGCTAGCTAGTTAGCGGTGCGCGCTAGTAGCATTTCAATCGGTGACGTCACTCGCTCTGAGACCTTGAAGTAGTTGTTTCCCTTGCTCTGCAAGGGCCGCTGCTTTTGTGGAGCGACGGGTAATGGTGCTTCGAGGTTGACTGTTGTCGATGTGTGCAGAGGGTCCCTGGTTCGAGCCCAGGTAGGGTCGAGGAGAGGGACGGAAGCAAAACTGTTACACATGGGCGGGGAGACGTTTTGTTATTGTTTCTACTACTGATTGCCGCTTTGATGTCCAACTGTCCATATTCAGGTTCAGGGAGACTCAGCCCACACAAGCCTGGATGATGCTTTTGAGACCATAGCGGAATTCATGGCACAGACAACATATCAATGCAAGGTATGTGCTCCAACCTAATTCCACTGCCCTTACTTTGTGCATGCTTTTGTCAATGCTAGGTAAATATGTTTGTATTACAGACCTTTTACATGTCGGAGACGGAGCCTATGGAAAATGAGAGAACCCATGTGTGTAGATACCATTCTCAATCTCACCAACGCCCAGGGACCTCACTGCAGACCAGGAAACATGTACGGCAAAGTTACAGCCTTTCAGTGCAACAACCCATCATAAAGCCATATTGTACATTTAAAAGTGCAGGGCAGAGCCCATACATTCAAATGGGAAAGTCAACAAAAACATGCCATTTGAAATTGCATTTCTTGTCATACTCATGTGGTTGAGATACTAAGGTATGCCTGTGTTTCTACAGGCACGGTCATCACATGAGGATTTCCACATTGAGGTGTCTCCAGGTACCTATAAGATTACAGCGGGAACGCAGGACTCACAGCAACAGACCCGGGTAGTACGCATTAATGCGGGAGAGAGCATGAACCTCACCTTTCACCTCTAACCCCTGACCAATCCCCTTTGATCTTTCTGCTACCAATAACAAAACTGCCCAATCAGAATGTTTACGTACATATTGTTTTCTGTTGTAATGTCGCTTTAGAGTGATAGTGATAGTGTTATTAATTTGCTGCTAAATGAGAAGCCATATTTTGATGCTTATTTTATTTTTTATATTCAATTATGTGTGTAAAATGTCTGTCCAAACGCATCACGTTAAGCATTTATGTATTTTTATGTCATATCAGTATAATAAAGTATATATTTTATATCAATGATAATTTAGTTTGTGACACAGTTTTTCTTGTCAACTCAACAACACTCAATCAAATTTGTAATACATAGACTCCATAAGATTCATATTCGATAGACAACCTTCTTGTATAAACAGCTGTGACCGTGTTGCCAGCGGTTAACTGAAGTCTCGTTTTTGGATGAGGTCTGTAGTCTGTCAGGCCAAACACATCCCTGATGGTCACCCTTCTTGGCTGAAACACTGAGCAGTGATTGGGCGAGCCACTGATCTTAATGTCAGGGTAGCTGGTTTTTGTAGACTGGAATTTTTGGTACTTTCCCTGACAAATCAACAGACATGGAATCGTATGTATGGTTGAACCATGTATGTTGTACTTATTTTTGTTTAATCATCAGTTTTACGTTACTCTGCATTTTCAGCATACAGCTATTTTCAAATCAAACTTTATTTTTCACATGCTTCATAAACAACCAGTGTCGACGAACAGTGAAATACTTACTTATGGGTCCTTTTCCGACAATGCAGAGTTTATAGATAAAAATATATATATTAAAAAGTGACACAAGGAATAAATACACAGTGAATAACAATGAGTAAAAAATAACATGGTTTTTGTGTTTGTTTATAAATAAAAATCTAAGGGGGAAAAATGTAAAAATAACTTGGCTATATACAGGGAGTACCAATTTGTTTGCATAGTCAACTTACACACAGCACCGACACACACTTACCCCACCAGACATGCCACCAGGGGTCTTTTCACAGTCCCCAGGTCCAGAACAAATTCAAGGAAACTTACAGTATTATACAGAGCCATGAGTGCATGGAACTCCCATCTTAAATAGCGCAAGGGAACAGCAAACCTGGTTTCAACGCCTCTCTCCCATGTGACCTACTTGTTGTGTGTATGTACTGACATGTACAGTTGAAGTCGGAAGTTTACATACACTTAGGTTGGAGTCATTAAAACTCGTTTTTCAACCACTCCACAATTTTCTTGTTAACACTATAATTTGGGCAAGTCGGTTAGGACATCTACTTTGTGCATGACACAAGTAATTTTTCCAACAATTGTTTACAGACAGATTATTTCACTTATAATTCACTGTATCACAATTCCGGTGGGTCAAAAGTTTACATACACTAAGTTGACTGTGCCTTTAAACAGCTTGGAAAATTCCAGAAAATTATGGCTTTAGAAGCTTCTGATAGGCTAATTGACATAATTTGAGTCAATTGGAGGTGTACCTGTGGATGTATTTCAAGGCCTACCTTCAAACTCAGTGCCTCTTTGCTTGACATCATGGGAAAATCAAAAGAAATCAGCCAAGACCTCAGGGAAAAAAATGGTAGACCTCCACAAGTGTGGTTTGTCCTTGGGAGCAATTTCCAAACGCCTGAAGGTACCACGTTCATCTGTACAAACAATAGTACGCAAGTATAAACACCATGGGACCACGCAGTTGTCATACCGCTCAGGAAGGAGACGCGTTCTGTCTCCTAGAGATAAACGTACTTTGGTGCGAAAAGTGCAAATCAATCCCAGAACAACAGCAAAGGACCTTGTGAAGATGCTGGAGGAAACAGGTACAAAACGATCTATATCCACAGTAAAACTAGTCCTATATCGACATAACCTGAAAGGCCGCTCAGCAAGGAAGAAGCCACTGCTCCAAAACCGCCATAAAAAAGCCAGACTACGCTTTGCAACTGCACATGGGGACAAAGATCGTACTTTTTGGAGAAATGTCCTCTGGTCTGATGAAACAAAAATATAACTGTTTGGGCATAATGACCATCGTTATGTTTGGAGGAAAAAGGGGGTTGCTTGCAAGCCGAAGAACACCACCCCAGCCATGAAGCACGGGGGTGGCAGCATCATGCTGTGGGGGTGCTTTGCTGCAGGAGGGACTGGTGCACTTCACAAAATAGATGGCACCATGAGGAAGGACAATTATGTGGATATATTGAAGCAACATCTCAAGTCAGGAAGTTAAAGCTTGGTCGCAAATGGGTCTTCCAAATGGACAATGACCCCAAGCATACTTCCAAAGTTGTAGCAAAATGGCTTAAGGACAACAAAGTCAAGGTATTGGAGTGGCCATCACAAATCCCTGACCTCAATCCTATAGAAAATTTGTGGGCAGATCTGAAAAAGCATGTGCGAGCAAGGAGGCCTACAAACCTGACTCAGTTACACCAGCTCTGTCAGGGGGAATGGGCCAAAATTCACCCAACTTATTGTGGGAAACTTGTGGAAGGCTACCCGAAACGTTTGACCCAAGTTAAACAATTTAAAGGCAACGCTACCAAATACTAATTGAGTGTATGTACACTTCTGACCCACTGGGAATGCGATGAAAGAAATAAAAGCTGAAATAAATCATTCTCTCTACTATTATTCTGACATTTCACATTCTTAAAATAAAGAGGTGATCCTAACTGACCTAAGACAGGGGATTTTTACAAGGATTAAATGTCAGTAATTGTAAAAAAATATATACCTATTTGGTAAAAGACCAAGTCCATATTATGACAAGAACAGCTCAAATAAGCAAAGAGAAATGACAGTCCATCATTACTTTAAGAGATGATGGTCAGTCAATCTGGAAAATTTCAAGAACTTTGAAAGTATCTTCAAGTGCAGTCGCAAAAACCACCAAGCGCTATGATGAAACTGGCTCTCATGAGGACCCTGATTTTTTGCTATTTTATTTATTTAAAAAATATATATATATATATATATCACATTTACATAAGTATTCAGACCCTTTACTCAGTACTTTGTTGAAGCACCTTTGGCAGCGATTACAGCCTTGAGTCTTCTTGGGTATAACGCTACAACTTTTTACATTTTAGTCATTTAGCAGACGCTCTTATCCAGAGCGACTTACAGTAAGTGAGTGCATACATTTTTCATACTGGCCCCCCGTGGAAAACGAACCCACAACCCTGGCGTTGCAAGCGCCATGCTCTACCAACTGAGCTACACGGGGCCTACAAGCTTGCCACACCTGTATTTGGGGACTTTCTCCCATTCTTCTCTGCAGATCCTCTCAAGCTCTGGCAGGTTGGATGGGGAGCATTGCTGCACAGCTATTTTCAGGTCTCTCCAGAGATGTTCGATCGGGCTGAACGGAGCACAGAGAGATCCTTGATGAAAACCTGATCCATAGCGCTCAGGACCTCAGACTGGGGCAAAGGTTCACCTTCCAACAGGACAACGACCCTAAGCACACAGCCAAGACAATGCAGGAATGGTTTCGGGACAAGTCTCTGAATGTCCTTGAGTGGCCCAGTCAGAGCCTGGACTTGAACCCGATTGACCATCTCTGGAGAGACCTGAAAATAGATGTGCAGCAACGCTCCCCATCCAACCTGACAGAGCTTGAGAGGATCTGCAGAGAAGAATGGGAGAAACTCCCCAAATACAGGTGTGCCAAGCTTGTAGCGTCATACCCAAGAAGACTTGAGGCTGTAATCGCTGCAAAAGGTGCTTCAACAAAGTACTGAGTAAAGGGTCTGAATACTTATGTAAATGTGGTATTTCTGTTTTTTATTATTAATACATTTGCGAAAATGTCTAAAAACCTGTTTTTGCTTTGTCATTATGGGGTATTGTGTGTAGATTGAGGAGGGGAAAAAACAATTTAATAAATTTTAGAATAAGGCTGTAACGTAACAAAATGTGGAAAAGGTCAAGGGGTCTGAATACTTTCCAAAGTGTCATTTAGCAGACACTCTTACCACACCATAGTGCCATCTGACTTCTGATACCAATGCAGGGTGAAAGGAGGCCACAAAATGGTGAACCGCTATAAAATATGGTATAGAAAAGTATTTTGAAAATATAAATTTCAGCTATCGAAAGTATCTTGCTACAAAATACATTGGAGTGTAGTTCAGCCCAGTGTAATAACAATGAGGAAATACTCAAAGTAATTGAGATACATATTTGAAATACATTTAACAGAAATACTTCCCTTCTCTGATTACAATAGACAGTTGCAGCCTTCATAATATATATTAGAGGCTGCTGCTGCCTATTGAAACCACTGGTCACTTTAAGAAATAGAACACTAGTCACTTTAATCATGTTTACAGTCACTTTAATAATGTTTACATATCTTGCACTACTCATCTCATATGTATATACTGCATTCTATTCTATAATATTCTACTGTATCTTAGTCCATGCCGCTCTGTCATTGCTTGTCCATATACAGTGGGGAGAACAAGTATTTGATACACTGCCGATTTTGCAGGTTTTCCTACTTACAAAGCATGTAGAGGTCTGTAATTTTTATCATAGGTACACTTCAACGGTGAGAGACGGAATCTAAAACAAACATCCAGAAAATCACATTGTATGATTTTTCAGTAATTCATTTGCATTTTATTGCATGACATAAGTATTTGATACATCAGAAAAGCAGAACTTAATATTTGGTACAGAAACCTTTGTTTGCAATTACAGAGATCATACGTTTCCTGTAGGTCTTGACCAGGTTTGCACACACTGCAGCAGGGATTTTGGCCCACTCCTCCATACAGACCTTCTCCAGATCCTTCAGGTTTCGGGGCTGTCGCTGGGCAATATGGACTTTCAGCTCCCTCCAAAGATTTTCTATTGGGTTCAGGTCTGGAGACTGGCTAGGCCACTCCAGGACCTTGAGATGCTTCTTACGGAGCCACTCCTTAGTTGCCCTGGCTGTGTGTTTCGGGTCATTGTCATGCTGGAAGACCCAGCCACGACCCATCTTCAATGCTCTTACTGAGGGAAGGAGGTTGTTGGCCAAGATCTCGCGATACATGGCCCCATCCATCCTCCCCTCAATACGGTGCAGTCGTCCTGTCCCCTTTGCAGAAAAACATCCCCAAAGAATGATGTTTCCACCTCCATGCTTCACGGTTGAGATGGTGTTCTTGGGGCTGTGCTCATCCTTCTTCTTCCTCCAAACACGGCGAGTGGAGTTTAGACCAAAAAGCTCTATTTTTGTTTAATCAGACCACATGACCTTCTCCCATTCCTCCTCTGGATCATCCAGATGGTCATTGGCAAACTTCAGACGGGCCTGGACATGCGCTGGCTTGAGCAGGGGGACCTTGCGTGCGCTGCAGGATTTTAATCCATGACGGCGTAGTGTGTTACTAATGGTTTTCTTTGAGACTGTGGTCCCAGCTCTCTTCAGGTCATTGACCAGGTCCTGCCATGTAGTTCTGGGCTGATCCCTCACCTTCCTCATGATCATTGATGCCCCACGAGGTGAGATCTTGCATGGAGCCCCAGACCGAGGGTGATTGACCGTCATCTTGAAATTCTTCAATTTTCTAATAATTGCGCCAACAGTTGTTGCCTTCTCACCAAGCCGCTTGCCTATTGTCCTGTAGCCCATCCCAGCCTTGTGCAGGTCTACAATTTTATCCCTGATGTCCTTACACAGCTCTCTGGTCTTGGCCATTGTGGAGATGTTGGAGTCTGTTTGATTGAGTGTGTGGACAGGTGACTTTTATACAGGTAACGAGTTCAAACAGGTGCAGTTAATACAGGTAATGAGTGGAGAACAGGAGGGCTTCTTAAAGAAAAACGAACAGGTCTGTGAGAGCCGGAATTCTTACTGGTTGGTAGGTGATCAAATACTTATGTCATGCAATAAAATGCAAATTAATTACTTAAAAATCATACAATGTGATTTTCTGGATTTTTGTTTTAGATTCCATCTCTCACAGTTGAAGTGTACCTATGATAAAAATTACAGACCTCTACATGCTTTGTAAGTAGGAAAACCTGCAAAATCGGCAGTGTATCAAATACTTGTTCTCCCCACTGTATGTATATTTTCTTAAATTCCATTCCTTACTAGTTTTGTGTTTATTAGGTATATGTTGTGAAATTGTTAGATATTACTTGTTAGATATTTCTGCACTGTCGGAGCTATAAGCACAAGCATTTCGCTACACCCGCTATAACATCTGCTAAACACGTGTATGTGACAAATAAGATTTGATATGTTTTGGAATGTTCATTCAAATAGCTACAGGGTTTTTATTTCAGCTGTTCAGAAATATGAAGCAGAGACATAGGCTAAATCATCATGGATCAGAATGATTAGAGCTTTTAAATAATGGATATTCCCTTAGGCAAAAATGTTAAACCTTAAATTGGCATAAAAGTAGCCTGAACAAAAATATAAACGCAGCAAGTGTTGCTCCCATGCTTCATGAGCTGCAATAAAAAATCCCAGACATTTTCCATATGCACAAAAAGCTTATTTCCTTCAAATTTGGTGCACAAATTTGTTTACATCCCGGTTAGTGTGCATTTCTCCTTTTCCAAGATAATCCATCCACCTGACAGGTGTGGCATATCAAGAAGCTGATTAAACAGCATGGTCATTACACAGGTGCACCTTGTGCTAGGGACAATAAAAGGCCACTTTAAAATGTGCAGTTTTGTCACACAACACAATGTCACAGATGTCTCAAGTTTTGAGGGAGCGTGCAATTGGCATGCTGACTGCAGGAATGTTCACCAGAGCTGTTGCCAGAAAATTGAATGTTAATTTCTCTACCATAAGCTGACTCCAATGTCGTTTTAGAGAATTTGGCAGTATGTCTGTGGCCCTCTGTAGCTCAGCTGGTAGAGCACGGCGCTTGTAACGCCAAGGTAGTGGGTTCGATCCCCGGGACCACCCATACACAAAAATTTATGCACGCATGACTGTAAGTCGCTTTGGATAAAAGCGTCTGCTAAATGGCATATTATTATTATTATTATTATGTCCAACCGGTTTCACAACTGAAGACCACGTGTAACCATGCCAGCCCAGGACCTCCACATCTGGCTTCTTCACCTACGGGATTGTCTGAGGGGGGTACTGAGGAGTATTTCTGTCTGTAATTCCCCTTTTGAGGTGAGAAATTAATTCTGATTGGCTGGGCCTGGCTCTGCAGTGGGTGGGGCTGGCTGCCAAGTGGGTGGGCCTATGCCCTCAAAATCTTTGACATTTTTGCATGTTTTGCGTCCGAGACAGAAAAGAACAGGCACAATAGATTATGCAAGGTTGAATATTTTCTTAATTAAAACTACAACTCCCTTCAGCCAAGCGTCCCATATAGTTATTGACTTATTTTCTCTCGTGAATGAATTTATTTCTCTCTAAAGAAACTCACACAAAAAAACGCCCTAAATGGAATTCAAGTAATTGGACCAACGTCGGTCAATTAGTTGTTTAATAACCGAAACCCCTCCGAAATTGTGTTTAATCACTCAGCATTAGTAAAGATTATGGATATACTGACACTTAGTGAGCAGCAGCGATGTTATATAAAACGCATGCGCAGAACATGATCCGGGTCCTTAGCTTTAAGGAAAATAAGAAAAAAAAGTGTATATTTTTCTAATTGATTTACAATATTATATAACGTCCCTAAAGGTATAAATAGCAAATTATCAAAGAAGTGTCTACAGTATTTGTCAAAATGTAACTTGTTTATAGGGTAATATACTTTGTGTTTATTTATTTAAATTTTTTGGGGGGGTCTTTTGTTATCTGTGGGGGGGTAGAAAACTCCGTATCCGTAGCCACGGCCTAAAAATAGCCTATATAATTACCCATGGAGTGTGAGCCCTTATATATCCGTTATATTTTGTAGGGTAATCCTACTTCATTAAATCAGATGTAAAGTAAGCTTGCATAAAGGACATGTTATCATGTCTGCATCAATACTTAGCCATCATGAGCTCAATTCACTGCATTGCCCATATACCCCCATTTTTTTCCCACACAACCTTGTTTTCAACATGGATGCCCGTCATCTCCCAGTAAATGTTGTTTACATGGAACATTTACAGACAAATTTGATTTCACCTGTATGACATAAGACATAAATTAGAAGCGCTCAGAACTATCTAGTTACATGTTACGTAAAATGTAAAGCGTCCACCGTTTTGTAACGTTAAAAAATAAATGATCTAGTCAAACGCCACAAACAATACACATAATGGCGCCTGCTAGGGGCCCATGAACGTGTATAGTGAAAATATTACCTGCGTTTGTGAACGTTTAGCTGGTATGTGGCCAATCGGAAGACCACCGTTTAGCGTGAAATTGTAGGGAACCAATAGAATGGTGGTAATTCAGTTGGGGTTGATCTTTGTTGCGACTGCTTTTCTTCATACATGTTCCCGGGTGAAAATGCGCTCATAACATTTCCTGCACTGATGCATGGTGGTCGAACGGAGGGATTGTTGGAAAATTTCGGAGGTTAGTATATAAATTGTTTTTTTACCCAGTGTGCATTATTCCCACAGCCATTTCTGAGAAGAACTACAACAGGGACTGTAAACGAGGGACGGGAGAAACCTGCTATACAATAAAATTGAATGTCAAAGAACAATCATTCTTAACATTAATTACCTAGCTAATGGATTGTCTTCTTGTCACTAGTGTTGCTTTGAACGACGAATTGTTGTTAGGCTACACTGCTGGTTGTGTAACATTAGTAAATGTAACTTATTGTGAAACTCTCCAGTTCAACAAATGTAGGCTAGGCTATCACTTGAGAAATTGCGGTTTGTGTTAACACAGATTAGCTTTATGCATCGCTAACGAGAGGGAGAGCCTGCTAGGCCCCGCTAATCGTTACAATTCGTGTGCAGTCTTCTAGCTCAGTGGTTCCCAACCTTTTTCGGTTACTGAACCACCAACTGAATTTTTCTCTGCCCGTAATACCCCTCAAGTACCTTATGTGCATTTTACCAGTAGGCCTATGGACTCATGTTGTCTTAAGTACCCGCTGTGGATAGGCCAAACACCCCCAGTGGTCCTAGTACCCCTGGTTGGGAACCACTGTCCTAGCTATCCTCTGGCGCATGCCAGTTTAGAAGTTTACCTTTGAGTCATTTAGCAGACGCTCTTATCCAGAGCGATTTACAGGAGCAATTAGGGTTAAGTGCCTTGCTCAAGGGCACATCGACATATTTTTCACCTAGTCGGCTCGGGGATTAGAACCAGCGACCTTTCGGTTACTGGCACAACGCTCTTAACCACTAAGCTACCTGCCACCCCAAAGTTGCAACATTTGTAACAACGCGTCTGTCTCTAGCTTGCAAGTAATCTGACCAAATAAAGTTAGTGTATGTTGCCTAGTAAATCAAACTTTAATACCAATACTTAATATACAGTCTGAAACATAGCAATGCAAAATCGTCTACGTTTTCTTTATAAGACAGAAGAAGGCTGAATAAAATGACATTTGAACTTACTCAGTTACAGGTTGTATGTGTGGTTGGTCTTTGAGACCCATCCCACAGGAAAGGATTGTTTACCTGACTCTTTAGAAAACTGGTGTGGTGATACTGATGATTTATTGTCAGAGATGGTTTGTTTACATAAATGGTTAAAATAATTAACATGGCAGGTTAGGAGAACTAATGCAGTAGGTTACGTGAATTAACATAGCGGGTTAGGCTTAGCAACCATGCTACAGTTGTCAACCACTGTTGTCCCTGATAAGACCACTAGATAGAGCGGTAGGCCTACTCCATCTAACTACAATGGTAGAAACGTAAGTTTCCATCTGTGGCGAGAAATCATCAGTATCATAACACATGGATAATTGGCAGAGTAAGTTCAAATGAAGTGTATGCAACATTCTGACTTGTAAAGGGACTGGTTGGAATTTTTTTACGTAAATGTGCGTGGCATCGTCACGTTTTGTGCCTACAGTATATGCAGTGTCAATGGCTGTCGCTACAGCTTTTCACACTGGATATCTTTTTATTTTATTTAACCTTTTATTTAATCAGGGAGTCATACTGAGACCAAGGTCTCGTTTAGAGATGAGCCCTGAATAGCAGAAAAGACACACAACACAATGCAAGCAGAAAGAAAGAAAACCACTGTCATAAAAAACAAACTCATTCATAGTCTAGGACCGATAGGAACGTTGACTGAATAATCTGCTTTCTACTGTTTAGCGAGAGGCAGGACATATTTCTATAGAAGAAGCCCATTTTTATTCTCAGCTTCTTAACTAACTCATCAATATTCTTTTTAAAAGACAGCTTTTCATCTATCCAGATGCCCAGATATTTCTAAGCAGGGACACGATCAGTATGGACACCATCCAAAGTACATAAGCTTAAATCGTCATAGTTATTTTTATGCGCTCTAGAGAACAACATATACTTAGTTATACCTGCATCCAGTACTAATTTCAGGTCAAAGTTTTTCTGTGATACAATGAAGGCAGACTGTAGTTCAGATAGAGCCTGGTCAACCGTGGGGGCAATAGCATACACAACAGTATCGTCGGCATACAAGTGCAAATTGATATTGTTAATTTAAACAGTAAAAAGTACAGGACCCATAATCGACACCAGCGGGACACCTTTCGTAATATCCAGGAAACCTGATTTAACACCATCGCTAGATACACAATGAGGTCTGTCAAGTAATTTTTTAACCATTTACATGCAGCCTGGTCTAGGCCAATTTAGGAATGCCTCTGAATTTGCAGTGAGTGATCAACAGTATTGAAAGCCTTTTGACAGGTCAATGAAGAGGGCAGCACAATGTTGCCTTTTATCCATACAGTTAACCACATCATTTATAACTAGGAATGCAGCAGAGATAGTGCTATGACCTGGTCTAAAACCAGACTGATGTACATTTAGAATACATCTCAAAGATAAGAAAGATCTTAGCTGAGATTTAATCAAGGATTTGAATATTTTAGCTGAGCAAGAAAGTTTAGAAACAGGGCTATAATTATTTAGGTCACAAGGGTCACCACCTTTGTGAAGGGGGAGTACATGGGCCACCTTCCAAACCTTGGGGATAGTACCAGATATAATCGTCAGGTGAAAAATATGGGTTAATGATTCAGAAATCAGGGGGGCAGAGAGCTGCAGCAAAATTGGATCAAGCATATCAGCCCCATTGGATTTTTTTTACATCAATCTTAAGCAAGGCATCTAGCACATCACAGATAGTTCTCTGAACAAAAATATAAACGCAACATGTAAAGTGTTGGTTCCATGTTTCATGAGCTGAAATAAAAGATCCCAGAAGTTTTCCATACGCACAAAAAGCTTATTTTTCTCAAATTCTGTGCACAAATTAGTTTACTTCCCTGTTAGTGAGCATTTCTCCTTTGCCAAGATAATCCATCCACCTGACAGGTGTGGCATATCAAGAAGCTGGGAACAAAAGGCCACTCTATAATGTGCAGTTTTGTCACAACACAATGCCACAGATGTCTGCAGGAATGTCCACCAGAGCTGTTGCCGGATAATTGAATGTTGGCGCAAATAATAAACTGGTCCTGAACATCTCTACTAAGAGCATTGTATTTGGTACAAGTCTTTCCCTAAGCTGAATCTGGTAATGAATGGTGTGGCTGTTGAACACGTTGAGGAGACTAAATTACTTGGTGTTACCTTCGATTGTAAACTGTCATGGTCAAAACATATAGATTCAATGGTTGTAACGATGGGGAGTGGTCTGTCCGTAATAAAGAGATGCTCTGCTTTTTTGACACCACACTCCAAAAAGCAAGTCCTGCAGGCTCTAGCTTTATCTTATCTTGATTATTGTCCAGTCATATGGTCAAGTGCTGCAAAGAAAGACCTGGTTAAGCTGCAGCTGGCCCAGAACTGAGCAGCACGTCTTGCTCTTCATTGTAATCAAAAGGCTCATATTAATACTATGTATGCCAGTCTCTCTTGGCTAAGAGTTGAGGAAAGACTGACTGTGTCACTTCTTGTTTTATAAGAAACAGTAATGTGTTGGAAATTCCAAATTGTTTGCATAGTCAACTTACACACAGCACCGACACACACTTACCCCACCAGACATGCCACCAGGGGTCTTTTCACAGTCCCCAGGTCCAGAACAAATTCAAGGAAACTTACAGTATTATACAGAGCCATGAGTGCATGGAACTCCCATCTTAAATAGCGCAAGTGAACAGCAAACCTGGTTTCAACGCCTCTCTCCCATGTGACCTACTTGTTGTGTGTATGTACTGACATGTACAGTTGAAGTCGGAAGTTGACATACACTTAGGTTGGAGTCATTAAAACTCGTTTTTCAACCACTCCACAATTTTCTTGTTAACACTATAATTTGGGCAAGTCGGTTAGGACATCTACTTTGTGCATGACACAAGTAATTTTTCCAACAATTGTTAACAGACAGATTATTTCACTTATAATTCACTGTATCACAATTCCAGTGGGTCAGAAGTTTACATACACTAAGTTGACTGTGCCTTTAAACAGCTTGGAAAATTCCAGAAAATTATGGCTTTAGAAGCTTCTGATAGGCTAATTGACATAATTTGTGTCAATTGGAGGTGTACCTGTGGATGTATTTCAAGGCCTACCTTCAAACTATGTGCCTCTTTGCTTGACATCATGGGAAAATCAAAAGAAATCAGCCAAGACCTCAGGAAAAAAAATGGTAGACCTCCACAAGTGTGGTTTGTCCTTGGGAGCAATTTCCAAACGCCTGAAGGTACCACGTTCATCTGTACAAACAATAGTACACAAGTATAAACACCATGGGACCACGCAGCCGTCATACCACTCAGGAAGGAGATGCGTTCTGTCTCCTAGAGATGAACGTACTTTGGTGCGAAAAGTGCAAATCAATCGCAAAACAACAGCAAAGGACCTTGTGAAGATGCTGGAGGAAACCGGTACAAAAGTATCTATATCCACAGTAAAACAAGTCCTATATCGACATAACCTGAAAGGCCGCTCAGCAAGGAAGAAGCCACTGATCCAAAACCGCCATAAAAATGCCAGACTACGGTTTGCAACTGCACATGGGGACAAAGATCGTACTATTTGGAGAAATGTCCTCTGATCTGATGAAACAAAAATATAACTATTTTGCCATAATGACCATCGTTATGTTTGGAGGAAAAAGGGGGTTGCTTGCAAGCCGAAGAACACCATCCCAACCGTGAAGCACAGCGGTGGCAGCATCATGCTGTGGGGTTGCTGGTGCACTTCACAAAATAGATGGCATCATGAGGAAGGAAAATTATATGGACATATTGAAGCAACATATCAAGACATCAGTCAGGAAGTTAAAGCTTGGTCGCAAATGGGTCTTTCAAATGGACAATGACCCCAAGCATACTTCCACAGTTGTGGCAAAATGGCTTAAGGACAACAAAGTCAAGGTATTGGACTCAGTTACACCAGTTCTGTCAGGAGGAATGGGCCAAAATTCACCCAACTTATTGTGGGAAGCTTGTGGAAGGCTACCCAAAATGTTGACCCAAGTTAAACAATTTAAAGGCAATGCTAGCAAATACTAATTGAGTGTATGTAAACTCCTGACCCACTGGGAATGTGATGAAATAAATAAAAGCTGAAAGAAATCATTCTCTCTAATATTATTCTGACATTTCACATTCTTAAAATAAAGTGGTGATCCTGACTGACCTAAGACAGGGAATTTTTACTAGGATTAAATGTCAGGAATTGTGAAAAACTGAGTTTAAATGTATTTGGCTAAGGTGTATGTAAACTTCCTACTTCAACTGTATGTGTAACTGATAGATGCGCACACACTAAATATTGTTTTTAAATGTATGTAAATTGTAAAGTATTTTGTCTGTAATGTCTTTTTCGTTGTGTCGGACCCCAGTAAGACTAGCTGTCGCCATTGGTGTCGGCTAATGGGGATCCTAATAAATAAAATAAAATAATGTTCATTTCTCTACAATAAGCCGCCTCCGTCATTTTAGAGAATTTGGCAGTACGTCCAACCGGCCTCTCAACCGCAGACTGCTGATGTCAACGTTGTGAACTGAGTGCGCCATGGTGGCGGTGGGGTTATGGTATGGGCAGGCATAATCTACGGACAATGAACACAATTGCATTTTATCTATGGCAATTTGAATGTACAAAAATACCGTGCCGAGATCCTAAGGCCCATTGTGAGGCCCATCTGTGACCAACAGATGCCTAGCTGTATTCCCAGTCATGTGAAATCCATAGATTAGGGCCTAATGCATTTATTTCAATTGACTGATTTCCTCATATGAACTCAGTAAAGTCAATGAAATTGTTGAATGTTGCATTAATATTTTTGTTCAGTATACAGTGGGGGAAAAAAGTATTTAGTCAGCTACCAATTGTGCAAGTTCTCCCACTTAAAAAGATGAGAGAGGCCTGTAATTTTCATCATAGGTACACGTCAACTATGACAGACAAATTGAGACATTTTTTCCAGAAAATCACATTGTAGGATTTTTAATGAATTTATTTGCAAATTATGGTGGAAAATAAGTATTTGGTCACCTACAAACAAGCAAGATTTCTGGCTCTCACAGACCTGTAACTTCTTCTTTAAGAGGCTCCTCTGTCCTCCACTCGTTACCTGTATTAATGGCACCTGTTTGAACTTGTTATCAGTATAAAAGACACCTGTCCACAACCTCAAACAGTCACACTCCAAACTCCATTATGGCCAAGACCAAAGAGCTGTCAAAGGACACCAGAAACAAAATTGTAGACCTGCACCAGGCTGGGAAGACTGAATTTGCAATAGGTAAGCAGCTTGGTTTGAAGAAATCAACTGTGGGAGCAATTATTAGGAAATGGAAGACATACAAGACCACTGATAATCTCCCTCGATCTGGGGCTCCACGCAAGATCTCACCCTGTGGGGTCAAAATGATCACAAGAACGGTGAGCAAAAATCCCAGAACCACACGGGGGGACCTAGTGAATGACCTGCAGAGAGCTGGGACCAAAGTAACAAAGCCTACCATCAGTAACACACTACGCCGCCAGGGACTCAAATCCTGCAGTGCCAGACGTGTCCCCCTGCTTAAGCCAGTACATGTCCAGACCCGTCTGAAGTTTGCTAGAGTGCATTTGGATGATCCATAAGAGGATTGGGAGAATGTCATATGGTCAGATGAAACCAAAATAGAACTTTTTGGTAAAAACTCAACTCGTCGTGTTTGGAGGACAAAGAATGCTGAGTTGCATCCAAAGAACACCATACCTACTGTGAAGCATGGGGGTGGAAACATCATGCTTTGGGGCTGTTTTTCTGCAAAGGGACCAGGACGACTGATCCGTGTAAAGGAAAGAATGAATTGGGCCATGTATCGTGAGATTTTGAGTGAAAACCTCCTTCCATCAGCAAGGGCATTGAAGATGAAACGTGGCTGGGTCTTTCAGCATGACAATGGTCCCAAACACACCGCCCGGGCAACGAAGGAGTGGCTTCGTAAGAAGCATTTCAAGGTCCTGGAGTGGCCTAGCCAGTCTCCAGATCTCAACCCCATTGAAAATCTTTGGAGGGAGTTGAAAGTCCGTGTTGCCCAGCGACAGCCCCAAAACATCACTGCTCTAGAGGAGATCTGCATGGAGGAATGGGCCAAAATACCAGCAACAGTGTGTGAAAACCTTGTGAAGACTTACAGAAAACGCTTGACCTGTGTCATTGCCAACAAAGGGTATATAACAAAGTATTGAGAAACTTTTGTTATTGACCAAATACTTATTTTCCACCATAATTTGCAAATAAATTCATAAAAATCCTACAATGTGATTTTCTGGAGAAAAAAAATCTCATTTTGTCTGTCATAGTTGACGTGTACCTATGATGAATATTACAGGCCTCTCTCATCTTTTTAAGTGGGAGAACTTGCACAATTGGTGGCTGACTAAATACTTTTTTTCCCCACTGTAAATTGTTGAAATGAAAACAAAGATTCACTAGAAGTTATCTGTTCACCATGTTGTTGCATATCATGGCCTCATCAGCAAATAATGTAGATTGGGTTTGTTGAAGGTAAATGACGAGGTAGGGCTTCTCAGTGGGGGCCACACCGAACCACACACATTTGCTTGTGGTAATTGAAATTACACTCTGGTTTTACTGCAAAATACTGTGTCAACGACATTGCAGTCAGGGACTTTGCTATGGAGCAATTTTTGTGCTAACAGAAATATTGTAATTCATTCAATATTTTAGATTTTTTTATGCACAAATTAAATCATTGAATTCTTAAATTGAACTTGTATTTCATGATTTGAAACTGAATTGAGCATTGCATTGTTTTAAAATTAAGTGTCAATGTAATTGAATATTCAAATTCAATATTTATATATTCAGTTTCAACATGGTAGATAATTACATTTTTTGTCTGTATCAAGTTTACAAACTATAATTTCAAGTTGACCAAAGTTACATGTATTCAACTTCTCAGATTCAGTTCTCTAAATTAAGATTCAGAAGCAGAGACAACATCCTGAATCATGTTTTTTTTCCTGTGCGTGCGTTGGTGTGTGTGTGTGTGTGTGCGTGCGTTGGTGTGTGTGTGTGTGTGTGTGTGTGTGTGTTTGAAGAGGTTGAGACATGCTCTTGGCCCAGATAAACCGTGACTCCCAGGGGATGGCAGAGTTCCAGGATGCAGACGGCCAGCAGGTGACCCTCTGTCTGGCAGAGGCAGTGACCGTGGCAGGTGAGCTCCCTCTGGGTCCTAACCCAACACAGGAGAGGTCAAAGGGTCAAACCAATCACTAATGGGAAGTGGTCAGATAATAGAATTAGATGTATGTATTACAGTTCAGAGTAAAATACTACAAGCAAGCTTGGGACTTTATATCCCAAGACTGGGTTAAGCAAATAGTTTTCATATTTCCACAGTATAACTACTATGTAACTATGTGTATCAACCCTGTCATTACACTATATCTACATAGATGGTTTTAGAACACAACGTGGGACCTAATACAGTAACATACTGCCTAAAAAGAAGTGCACCACCTTGATTATTATTGTGTCTCGCCAGCTCTTAGTTGAGTACCTTGATACTGACTGTTATGATCCTATATAGACGGCGATCATATGGAGACTATGGACACAGTGAGTCTACAGGCAGTAACCCTTGCCGATGGCTCCACAGCATACATTCAGCATGACCCCAAAGGTAAGCATGCATCACTCTCTCGTGTCATTACCAGTGAGCTGAGAGAAAAGCAAAAATGTCCACGTCTGCCTCCCATGTTTTCTCTATGTAAAAATGGAAGGACTGATCCTCTATGTTATGGTAAAGATAAGGGAGTAAGCTGATCCTAGATCTGTGCTTAGCAGGTATGTCGTGCCTCAGTGACAGCTTTGATTAGAGTTCAGTCTAATTGAGAGGAGTAGTTTCCTTTTCAGATGGACAGCTAATGGACGGACAGGTTATCCAACTGGAGGATGGGTCTGCTGCATACGTCCAGCATATGTCCATTCCAAAATCAGGTAAAGGATATGAACTAGACGCTTACATGTACTGTTACCTGCATTGTTAGGATGGGCCCATAAGTAACCATTTCACTGTTAGTCTACACATGTTGTTTACAAAGCATGTGACAAACAAACATTTGATTTTGATCTGTGCTTCTCAGGCGTAACCTGAATAAAATCTGTGTTTTTTTAGTTCTTTCGGTGACAGACATTTGTATATAATGCATTTCTAGAGACTACCATGTGTATTGCATGTTTATGTTGTAGGAGGAGACAGTTTACAACTTGAAGACGGACAGGCTGTCCAGCTAGAAGATGGAACAACAGCCTACATTCATGCACCCAAAGGTAAACGTTCTTCATCAAGGATGTAGCCCAGATTCTGCTGCTGTTTCTTTTTTAGGTATAGTTATTTATCATTAGCAATAGGATAAAATGTATAATTGTTTATCATTAGCAATAGGATAAAAGTGCCACCTTTCCCTTTGTTAGAGGCCATGTGATATTTTTTGCCTCAAATATAATCTCAGATGTACAAGAATACCTATGGGAGTAGTCACTAGGGGTCAGATATACATTGGTCATCACATTGGTCACTTTTGACCTTTCTCCTGATACCTCCTCAGAGACATACGAGCAGAGTAGCTTGCAGGCGGTGCAGTTGGAGGACGGCAGCACGGCGTACATCCAGCACACGGTGCACATGCCCCAGTCCAACAACATCCTGGCCATTCAGGCTGACGGCACCATCTCAGACCTGCAGACAGACGGGGGCATAGACCCCGAGACCATCAGTGTGCTGGAGCAGTACACCACCAAGGTAGTGCGATATCTAAACCCAGAGCCATAGAGAAAGGATAGATTTATTCATATAGACATGGATACTAAACATGTCACCACTGATTTGCTCTGCAACATGGTCATGAAAAGACTGGGTTGACCAAAGTATTCGGTTCCTACCCTTATTTCTGTACATTTTAAAACTGGATTGGAGTGGAGAATGTTCCATGTTACAATAGGGCAGGGGTACCCAACTCTTACCCTACGAGGTCCAGAGCCTGCTGGTTTTCTGTTCTACCTGATAATTTATTGCACACACCTGGTGTCCCAGGTCTACGCCAGTCCCTTATTAGAGGGGAACAATGAAAATATGCAGTGGAACTGGCTTTGAGGTCCTGAGTTGAGTTTGAGGGCTATATGGTATGGACTGCAGTATTGCTGTGTAGTGTCTCATTCAGAAGCACTATATGATGATGCATTTTATTTGATTGTTCTCCAGGTGGAGAATATAGAGAGTGGGCTGTTCGGACGAGAGGAGACTGATAATGGCATCCACATGCAGGTACTGTCACTCTGCTGGATAATGTTATTTCGAGCAGGGTTTCCTAACACTCGCCCCCTAGACATGTCTTTTTTTTCTCTCACTATTATTCTTTTAAAATGTACTTTTACCCCATTTTCTCCCCAATTTCGTGATTTCCAATTGGTAGTTACAGTCTTGTCCCATAGCTGCAACTTCCATACGGACTCGGCAGAGGCGAAGGTCGAGGGCCGTGCGTCCTCCGAAACACGACCCTGCCAAGCCGCACTGCTTCTTGACACACTGTTCGCTTAACCCGGAAGCCAGCCGCACCAATGTGTCGGAGGTAACACTGTCCAGCTGGCGACCGAGGTCAGCTTGCAGGAGCCCGGCCTGCCACAAGGAGTCGCTAGAGTGCGATGGGACAAGGAAATCCCGTCCGGCCAAACCCTCCCCTAACCCGGACGACGCTGGGCCAATTGTGCGCCGCCTCATGGGTCTCCCGGTCACGGCCGGCTGTGACACAGCCTGGGATCGAACCTGGGTTTGTAGTGACGCCTTAGACCGCTGAGCCACTCGGGAGGCCCTCATATTTTTGTTTTAACCCAAAACTGGCACACCTGATTCAGTTAGTCAACTAATTATCAAGCCTTTTACTCATTGAATCAGGTGTGCCAGTTTAGGGTTAAAACTAAAATGTGAAACGTCTGGGGGCACCCGAGGAGAGGGTTGGGAAACACTGCATTAGAGCACGCAACAGAGAACCTTTGAAAACATGTTGCAATGGAAAACAAAAATGTACGTATGTTACTCGACAAGTCCAGGTAGATCCTCTGTGTTTTAGTCCGGTCTCTTCCGTTTGGTGGCTAATGAACAAGACCCTGGTTTGTCATGAGGACCTAATGTTTCCTCTCCTCTTCAGATTGTCCTCCAGGGTCAAGAGGGCAGGACAGGAAGGGTTTCACACGTAGGGGAGAAGTCGTTCCACTGTGACCACGAGGGCTGTGGAAAACTCTTCACCACTGCTCACCATCTAAAGGCAAGGCCCTGTCTGTGTCTGTGTGTGTTTGTCTCAATACCATTCTCCTCTCTCTGTCAAATATTTTGTCTAATGACAGTTTTATACTTTGTTCTTCTTACTTCTAATAAAAGCTAGTGTATCGTGTGTGTGTGTAGTTTGTTTTTACTGTTGCTGCAATATTGCTTTGTTTGTGTTTCCCACAGGTACACGAGAGATGCCACACTGGAGATAAGCCATATATCTGTGACCACATTGGCTGTGGGAAGAAGTTTGCTACAGGTAGCAACCTACTGTGAGGGCTTTAACTCTTCTCATGGGTCATACAACCTTGCTGATTTCTTCTTTATGTTTAAATTGGCTCTAGACTAAATTTGTTTGGTACCTTGTTTTGTCCTTTTCAGGGTATGGGCTGAAGAGTCACTCGCGTACACACACCGGGGAAAAGCCTTACCGCTGCCAGGAGATCAACTGCCACAAGTCTTTCAAAACATCCGGTGACCTACAGAAGCACACACGGACACACACAGGTACAATACACTCCTGGTTTTAAAAAATGCACTGGTACAATACACTTCTGGTTAAAAAATGCACTGGTACAATACGCTCCTGGTAAAAATGCACTGGTACAATACACTCCTGGTAAAAAAATGCACTGGTACAATACACTCCTGGTAAAAAATGCACTGGTAGAAATGCACTGGTACAATACACTCCTGGTAGAAATGCACTGGTACAATACACTCCTGGTTAGAAATGCACTGGTACAATACACTCCTGGTTAGAAATGCACTGGTACAATACACTCCTGGTTAGAAATGCACTGGTACAATACACTCCTGGTAAAAAATGCACTGGTACAATACACTCCTGGTAAAAAATGCACTGGTACAATACACTCCTGGTAAAAAATGCACTGGTACAATACATTCCTGGTTTTAAAAAAATGCACTGGTACAATACATTCCTGGTTTTAAAAAAATGCACTGGTACAATACATTCCTGGTTTTAAAAAAAAGCACTGGTACAATACACTCCTGGTAAAAAAAAAATGCACTGGTACAATACATTCCTGGTAGAAATGCACTGGTACAATACACTCCTGGTAGAAATGTACTGGTACAATACACTCCTGGTAGAAATGCACTGGTACAATATACTCCTGGTAGAAATGCACTGGTACAATACACTCCTGATAGAAATGCACTGGTACAATACACTCCTGGTAGAAATGCACTGGGATAAGGAAGAGGGTGAGTTCCACTTATTCTTCCACCTATTGAGTATTTCCTTGGCACTATCTCCTCTGCCTTGTGTTGGGGGGTTTAGGCCCAGGTTATATAATATGTTGATTGATAGATATCTAATGTACATTCTGAGACGTGGTCTTACTCTAATTTGTCCTGCCTTGTCTTGTTTTCAGGAGAGAAGCCATTCAAATGTCCTGTTGAGGGCTGTGGACGGTCGTTCACCACCTCCAACATCCGCAAGGTTCACATCCGCACGCACACCGGAGAGCGGCCATACTACTGCGCTGAGCCCAGCTGCGGGCGATCCTTCGCCAGCGCCACCAACTACAAGAACCACATGAGGATTCACACAGGCATGTACCAAAATATTAGGCTTCTTCTTTACATGTTATTTACATGGCCATATAGCAAGGAACTATCTGATGAAGGCTTTTTGGACTGAAATTTCATGTTTCTTGAAGCAATCACAATATACCTTGATTTAGTTATTTTGCCCAATGATAACAATGTGTTGTACCTGTCTGTGTGTTCAGGAGAGAAACCGTACGTGTGCAGTGTGCCTGGGTGTGATAAGCGCTTCACGGAGTACTCCAGCCTGTACAAGCACCATGTGGTCCACACACCCTGCAAGCCCTACAACTGTAACTACTGTGGGAAGACCTACAAGCAGATCTCCACCCTGGCCATGCACAAACGCACGGCACACAACGACACAGAGCCCATCGAAGAGGAGCAGCAGGCCTACTTTGAGCAACCCACAGGTCTCTGTGTGTGTGTGTACGCCTGTGTGTGTGTGTGTGTGTACGCCTGTGTGTGTGTGTGTGGACGCCTGTGTGTGTGTGTGTACGCCTGTGTGTGTGTGTACGCCTGTGTGTGTGTGTATGGACGCCTGTGTGTGTGTGTGTGTGTGTGTGGGTACGCCTGTGCACATAAACAAGAGGGAAGGTAATTCTGTACTCAGCTGTGATGTATAGTCGACAGAAAAGCAGTTTCACCATTTCTTTAGAAATAGAGGTAATGATGAAATAATTTACTATTCTTAGATTATGTAGAAAACTGACAAATTGCAGTGATGCAGATTCACCTTGAGAGCTTGGATACGGAGATGACTGTCATTGGCCCTCATTCAATCCCAGACGACTTGTCATCAACATCCTAAACCTGACCCTAATTATTTATTGTTTTATTACAGTTTACAGTTTAGTCATTTAGCAGACGCTCTTATCCAGAGCGACTTACAGGAATCGAACCCACAACCCTGGCGTTGCAAGTGCCATGCTTTACCAACTGAGCCACATGGGACTTATTCTGTGGTTTTCTAAGCTTGACCCTGTTTTCCCTGTTTGATTTAGATGCCATTGATGATCCTGAGGTCACCTACACATCTGTAGTGGAGGTGGAGGACTCTGTGTCTGTGGGGACTCCAGAGGTCCTAGGGCAACAGCACCAAGTGTCCCTAGTCACACAGGACGGAACAACGCAGCAGGTAAGCATCCATGTCACACATCAGTATTTCTGATTTTATATTATTCTCTGCTTTTCATGTCTTTTCTATGGTAAGAATGATCTTGCAACTTAAATAATGCATTGATGGGTGCGTAACAGGAAATTTTTATCAAGAGCTCTTTTAAAATGGAAATGAAGAAACACCTTGACCATTCTTACATCTACATGTTGTGACGGTCGGAGTAGTTAGAAAACAAGCTGATGTTGTTATACTTCAGGTCAGTATCTCCGAGGCGGATTTGCAAGCGATGGGCGGCACAATTACCATGGTAACACAAGAAGGCACCACCATCACCATCCCAGCCCACGAGCTGATGTCACAAGGGCATCATTCTGTCACCATGGTGACAGCGGATGGCACAGAGGGACAGGTATCTATCTATGTTTTTTTTTTTTTACTTAGGGTTGGGTGTGTGTTATTTTTTTAATATTCCGGGGTACTGCCCATCTGCACTTCTGCCAATGTCCATTCTATGTACTAGAAAAATACAGAAATATATGTACCTACAATTTTTCTTGGCTAGATGTTGGTGATCCAAGTATACCTTCACCAAAAATAAAAGATTCCACACACTCCCAATACATATTCCCATGTGGGAGTTATTTATATTTCATTCAAACATTGTATTTTATATTTTCAAAACATGACAGCGACCAACAACACGAAACATACTACAGCATAATTACATGTAGTCTACAATATTTACAATAATAAATACACTAAACACACTAAATACATGATTTATTTTGACCTAAGGGATAAATCGTTTCCAGGCCTAATCAATCCCACTTCGGAGCAAAGTCTTTGTGTCCTTGTTTTTTTCATTGTATATTTTATACTCTGTATTCTCTATTTCAAACTTTATTTCTGTCCTCTGCAGGTGCAAATTATGACCCCAGATATGACCACTTTCCAGACAGTGGAGGAGGTGGATTTTATCCAGGAACAGGAGCACCAGGTGGTGTCTTCAAGCCCTCACCCGGTCACCCTATTGGCTACTTCCAATGGCACTCACATCGCTGTGCAGGTATGCCATAATGAGCAGCCTATGGATGTTAGTTAGGCTGCGTTTACGCAGTTACCCCAATTCAGGTGTATTGGCATATCTGATACCTAGGTCTATCTGATCTTTTCCACAATGTGTAAACTGCAAAAACCACATGGAATCTGATCTTTAGGCTGTGTTTACACTGGAAGCCCAATTCTGATCTTTTGGCCAATTATTGGCAAAAGAGCTGATCTGATTGGTCAAAAGACCAATTCGTGGAAAAATATCAGAATTGGGCTGCCTGTGTACGTACATTCGTATGTGAATCTCAATCCTGATGCTTCATATGTGACCTCAGTCTGGACGCTCTGAGATATATATTTATTTCACATGACCTGCTGTTACCATGACAACCACCACAAAATTTAAAGGAGCAGTGACAGGAAATTAGCATTGCATCTTTGTTCTGTTTCAGAGGCTACATCAGTGTGAATACGCAAATCGGATATAGGTCACATATAAAACTGAGTGTCAGTCAGAAAATAACCAGAATTGGGTTCTTAGGATGGCTGTGTAAACGCAGCCTTAGTGAACATGTTACCTAGCTACTTGGTTTGCAACAAATGGAAGGTAACACCACAGATGGAATAATGAGCCAGATGTTTAACGGGATGTATAAACCTGAAGCATCCGGTTGGCATTTCCACTCACTACCAAATATGGTTACGAGATGAAGCCCAGTGGCTGGCAGTGGGAGAAGATTGAGCGAGATGGATTTTGGCTGACATTCTGCTAATTTTCTCATCCATTAAACATTTGATCTCAATGCAGTTTTCTGTTCCCAAAACTACAATCTGTTAGAGTGGACTAAGTTTTGTAGACTTTACCCTTTGACAACGTTTCTAAAAATGATGTTGTTTAGAAGATGTGCAAGGGCGAATTGAGTTATTACATGCGCATGCTTCAGAGTAGGTGTTCCCAAATGGAAATATGCAAATACATGCTAGAACGAGCCAATAGGGTCCCGCTAGCTTGTGCTTGGCTCCCACTATGATTATTTTGCTCCCATTAGAAATGACAGGATGTGGTCTATCTTGGGTTAGTTCTACAAATCTTTGGTTCTCACATTACCCGATGTTGCAGGTATACATTTTATATATAGAGGAGATTCCATGTGGAAAAGGGAACAGCGCCTGCTCTATTCATTCAGTATCCATCTTAAATTCTGTGTTCTGTTTGACTGTTCCCCTTAGTTTTGCCAGATGAGAACACATTGATCTGATATTTCTGCCGTTGACGATACTCACATGAGTTTCAGACCAAACAGAGAGTAATCAGCACTGATTTAAACCTGAGCTATTTGCCATTGGCTAATCCCTCCCCACCCAGCCTCAGTGTTTTGTTGTTCAAACGGTCAGGTGAAATTAATGGGTAGGTGGGGTTGGATTGGGGTTTAGCAGGAGCTGTGTGCCAAGAGACACTCTCCATTTCTGGTGTTGACTTAACTGTCGTACTGAAAGGAAGCCTATAGTCACATGATGTGTGGACTGGGGTTTCTATGCAATCCAGGTCCAGTGGACAGCGGCCTCTAGCCATGTGGCCCACTACTGCGTAGGCTGATCCACAGAGTGGCTTGTTGCTTCTTACCAGGCTGTGTCCCAAATGGCACCCTATTCTCTATATAGTGCACCTTTAGCAGGGCTGTGGTCAAAAGTAGTGCAACATATGGGGTAAAAGAGTGCCATTTGGGACACGTGGTATTTCCTGCTACTCCAGGAAACGCCCAGAATTGACATGATTTACTACATTCTGAAGCTTATCAATGTACAGAAGGAAGCCAGTCCCATGGCGAGGTGTTTCTTTCCACTCGTACCCTCCAGGCTCCACCCAGTATCTGTTTTGGGTCACTTGGTCATTGTATAAAGGTCAACATTGATATGTAGTAAACAAAATGAATTGCAACAGTAAACCTTGCAACACAATTTTGTTTTTATATAAACACCTATTGTGTTAATAATAATAATAATAATAATAATAAACATTTATTGTGAGAAATTAGACTGAAATCATGTAGTGAGTTAGTCAATAACAGTTAATCATTCAGAAGCTCAAAGCTCACAAGGACTAATATCACATCAGTGCTACAAGGTGTTAAACAAAGCAAGCCATTATTCTACCTGAAGGGGTTCTGTAATAGCCAAAGTGAGCAGATACATGTTCTGGCTTGTTAACCCATTGATTGCTTTGATCTGCCCTCTTGTCATGCTAATGAAAATGCAAACACTCTCTAATCCCTCTGAGGTATACCACCCTGTCAAGGTCGTTAATCATACAAAAGAGCAATAATACTGTGGAGGAGATGGTAGTGGGTTTGGGTGGTGGGGAGATTAATGGCTTAAACTAGTGCTAAATACAAGTTACAATTTAATTTATAATAACCTATGGTGTATTTTTTTTTTTTTTTAGCTCAGTGATCAACCATCATTGGAAGAAGCCATCAGAATAGCGTCGCGAATACAGCAAGGAGAGACAACCGGATTGGACGATTAACACCTAAATGAACTAATAGCAAAAAAGGAAAATCATATCTTCACTATTTTCTAGATTCTACAGGAATTGAGTGTGTGTGTGTGTGTGTGTGTGTGTTTTTTGATAACTGGAGTCCTATGTGGATTTAATGTGCTCCTTCATCCATTGGTGAGGAGAGGATGATTTATAATGTCCTATTGTGCAACTGCAATGTACAGCTAACTCATTTTTTTAAATAAAAAAATGGTGTGATCAATATACTGTGTACATAAAGTTGGTTTTGGGAACAGAGAAAGACAGAACATCATGGACCTCTTGGTCCTATTACGCTCTGGATAAGAGCGTCTGCTAAATGACTAAAATGTAAATGTGTTACCTTCGTTTTACTGAGACATGCATAGACCAACTACCACAATTAGTTAAATGTTGAGATGTATATATTTTTAATGATCTTGCTGATATAATGAAATTAAGGCATGAAAGCCTTGAAAGCCTATGGAAACAAGGTGTGTATGAGAATATTAAATTAAGATGCAGAGCTATATCTAAAAATTAAACTGAAAAATTGAATCTTGAGTGCCAAACATGATTCAGATAAAACTTGAAAGGTAGATCAGTTCCAATGTATGATTATTCATGCAATTAGCCAATTGTATGTGTGTGTGTAGGGATGTAGCTCAGTTGGTAGAGCATGGCGCTTGCACGCCAGGGTTGTGGGTTCGTTTCCCATGGGGGGCCAGTATGAAAAAAATATATATAAAAAAATGTATGCACTCACTAACTGTAAGTCGCTCTGGATAAGAGCGTCTGCTAAATGATGTAAATGTATGTCTACGATCAGTTCATAATGGCCTGGTAGAATACTTTTAAACAATTAATTGTAAAATATTATATAAATAAAACTTCGGCATTGAAAGTAACACAAAAAGACTTGCTCAACGTGTTTTTAATTTGATTGATTCACTAGGAACTTGATGAAAGATGATCATTGGCGCCAAATTGACGTTTCATCAAAGAGAATGTAAATGACGTAGCACCTACTGGAACGCCCATCTTTTAAACACTCATCGTTCGTTCCAATTGGCTGAGGAGGGGGTCATCTGACCAACGGTCGCGGGAAGCCCTTCACCACGCGCTTGATAAGGATGCGCTTTTAGTTTCGTGGAAACAATTTTTGTAAACATAGCTAGCTTGCTAATGATTTGTTGTGAAAATACACTTTTGTAATTTGTAACGTTTTTAAGATAACCAAGTAATTTTATTGCGAGATTTTGGAATTATATTTTTTGGGTACTCCGACGGATTTTATGTTTATTTCTATTCGCGCTGGTTTCTGGACGAGGGGTTGCAGTACTGCGCAGCCATTTTCCGGTACCTAAGCTAACGTGGCTATAGCAGTGGAGTGACCACGGCAGGGGCGTGTAGCTGGTTAGCTAACTGTATAGCTAGCGACACATCTACGGAACAAATATATCAGATGAACATAAACTTGCTTGAGATGTATGTTACATTTTGCGACCCGTCAACAAGAGAAAGTGTTCGCTGAATGTACGGGAGATTTCTGAGGAAGTTTGACTTTTTGCCATACTTACGTTAGCTAGCTAGCGAGTAGCGTCAACTTTGCTGCGTGGCTAGCCGACTGACTTGATATTACAAGCTACAGTCATTATCGTACGGTGATACATAAATACTACAGTAGTTGTATAGTAATTACGCGGATTAGCTAGCTAACAGTTGGTTAACGTTGCAACTTTAGCTATAAACAAAACATTTTTTGAAGAAAAAGCGATAGCCAGGGTTTAAATGAAAATGCAGAGTTACAGTTTCTTTCGTCGGCATGGAAGTTCATCTCCAAACGCCCGACCAATATGTCAGAAGATACAGTTTACGCCGAGCGATGAAGAGGATGACCCGATTGAGGACGGCAACAACAGTACAGGAGCTGAATCGGGCTTTACAGAACTGGACTCTCCAATGCATGAGCTACGGGACAGTGTCGATAAACGACTCGAACACAGCAGCCCTCTGAATCGGACTGGGGAACGCGGTGATGTGGAACTGTGGGACGAAGAAGGATTCGGTTCTCCGTCTCACCTTCAGTCCCCCAGTAGCGTTATTTTCACGAAGGGGTCCCGGTCACCACGGAAAAGCTCTCGGGTGTATGGCAGTTCACCGGAGCGGTTATACATTCAGGACGATGGGGAAGGCTCGAGCTCACCTATTCCGGACTGCCCCGAAACACCTCCACACAAAACCTTCAGAAAACTTCGCCTTTTTGATACTCCACACACACCAAAGGTTTGAACTTTTGATCCAGCATACCTGCAAGCTATAATATACCTAAAATTGGCTAATATTGTTTTGACAACATAGTTAGCTAAGTAAGTTACATGGCACTAACATTTATGGAGTAGTAGTTATGTATGCCATTTTCCGATGTGTGTAGTACTTTACAACATGCTGGCAGCATGACCTAGTGACTGATCGAAACTTTACATTTAAAATGTTTTTAATGGTAGCTTTTGTTGAATAATAGTAACCGCCCAATTACCTATTTTTAGTAATACTATACAATTATATAAAACGTCAGTCAGCCTGCCAAATGAGTCATTGATTCGAAGGCAGGCTTTTTCATGGCTGGACATGCCTCACTTATCCACACTGGAATCCTTGTCAACATCAGTATTATGCATTGATAGGCAGATTTGTTTAAATTTTCACTTCAACTTTACTCAAATAGTTATTTATATTTGTGATGTTATTTCAGGTCATTGGGAGTATTTCACTTTATCATAATAGTTTGTGCTCTAAGTGTCTCAACATGTCTTGAATATGTTCATTCTGTCATTCGCAGAGTTTGCTGAACAAAGCCAGAACTGCCAGCTCAGTGTCCTCAAGTAGGAGAGTTGCTCTCTTCAGGAATGTGGATTCCACAGGAAAATCTGGTCCAGACAGCAGGAGAAGCCAGACCCCTTTGGTCAACATCAACCCCTTCACCCCCGAAGCCCTACTCATCCAGTCTACCACTCAACAGAGGAACAACAGGAAGAGGGCACACTGGAACGAGTATGTCACTCATTAAGCCTATATTTCTTTTAGTCTAATACTAACTTATTTGGCAATCTAAAACAGTTTAACTTAGTCTAATTTAAACAGACAATAATTGATCACTTATGTTTTTATCTTATCACTTGATACCTGGATGTGTCCATATGTCGGTACACACAGATTGTAACCCATTGTTATTGCTAGCTGGAATCGTTAAATCCGTTGACTAAGCATCAGTAAGGCAAACGTCTGGCAGGAAACCAAGACCAGTCATGGTCACTAATGAACTCTGCCGTGTGTGAAGACCTCAGTGCTGCCTTCTGGTGGGTGGAATGTGTGCTAACAAACTGTCTCGTTTTATTCAGCTCCTGTGGTGAGAACATGGAGGCGAGTGATGCTGAAACGGAAGAAATCATTCCTCCGCCAAAGGTAGTTATTTTCGAACCATTCTGATTTCTTTATAGCATTACGATAAACTAGGTTCACTCGCAGGCATGTTATTCAGCAAAGCTCTCAACAGGATGTTCATTTACACATATCCACTTAGATGGAGTGTAAAGTGAGGCAATAATAACATAGTCTAACTAATATGTTATTTGGATTATTATGATTTTCTATTAAACCTCTCCATCCTCAGAGAATCACCATGATGGAGAGCAACATGAAGTCCAGGTACGCGTCTGAGTTCCACCAGCTGGAGAAGATCGGCTGCGGGGAGTATGGCGCAGTCTTCAAGTGTGTCAAAAGACTGGACGGCTGCATCTACGCTATCAAGCGCTCAAAGAAGCCCCTGGCAGGCTCTGTGGATGAGTAAGTTGGAGTTTATCTGTCTGTGAAACAGGAGCACGCTCTAAATATACTGAACGAAAATGTAAATGCAACATGCAACAATTCCGAAGATTTTACAGAGTTACAATTCTTAGAAGGAAATCAGTCAATTGAAATAAATTCAATAGGCCCTTATCAATGGATTTCACATGACTGGGCAGGGGCGCAGCAATGGGTGGGCCTGGGAGGGCATAGGCCCACCTACTGGGGAGCCAGGCCCAGCCAATCAGAATGAGTTTTTCCCCACAAAGGGGCTTTATTACAGACAGACAATACTCCTCAGCATACCCCCGCTCCTCAGATGATCCCGCAGGTGAAGAAGCTGGATGTGGAGGTCCTTGGCTGGCGTGGTTACACGTGGTCTGCAGTTGTGAGGCCGGTTGGACGTACTACCAAATTCTCTAAAACATTGGAGGCGGCTTTTGTTAGAGAAATGAACATTCAATTCTCTGGCAACAGCTCTGTTGGACATTCCTGCAAGTTAGCATGCCAATTGCACGCCCCCTCAAAACTTGAGACATATGTGGCATTGTGTTGTGACGAAACTACAAATTTTAGTGGCATTTGTCCCCAGCACAAGGTGCACCTGTGTAATGATCATGCTGTTTAATCAGCTTCTTGATATGCCACCCCTGTCATGTGGGTGGATTAGCTTGGCAAAGGAGAAATGCTCACTAACAGGGATGTAAACAATTTTGTGCACAAAATGAGAAGCTTTTTGTGCGTATGGAACATTTTTGGAATCTTTTATTTCAGCTCATGAAACATGGGAGCAACACGTGTTGCGTTTTTATATTTTTTGTTCAGTATATATTGTGTATGGAATTCTTGCTGAAGCCAGTCTAAGATATGCTGAAGTTCTCACATCCTCCCTTTGTTGCTGTCACCCATGTATTCCAACAAGACTTGGGAATAGTATGTCATATCCAGTCAATAGTAGCTTGAATAATAAATAGTATTAGTTATCCTAACCACAGTAAACATCAAACTTGAAGAAATGCCTAATCTAATCACATCCGTGTTGTCCCCCCCCAGGCAGAATGCCCTCCGGGAGGTGTACGCCCACGCCGTGCTGGGCCAGCACCCCCATGTGGTGCGCTACTACTCGGCCTGGGCCGAGGATGACCACATGCTCATCCAGAACGAGTACTGCAATGGCGGCACCCTCTCGGACGTCACGGCCGAGAACTACCGGCGGCTAGGCTTCCTGTCGGAGCTGGAACTGAAGGACCTGCTACTGCAGGTCACTCGCGGCCTCAAGTACATCCACTCGTCCTCACTGGTCCACATGGACATCAAGCCTAGTAAGTACCACTGTGGGGATGGAAAGCATTCATTTTAATAGTAGATGGGATTTGTCATAATGAAGTGGAATTTTCTTTACATTTCTGTTTAGTTAACAGTAGCGAGAAGAGAAACCGGCACACAGCTCTTGCTTGTATCACTTCTTTTATTCAAGCATTTAACAGCAGGACATCTTGTGAATCACATCCCTAATTCAATGCAATTTGTTTGATGTGTTTTTGTCTTTACTTAGTCATTGAGGACAAAAAACGAGTTTGCATATTGTCTTTCAGGCAATATTTTTATCTCACGCAAGACGGTTGGCAGTGTAGACGCGTGTGATGAAGAGGAGGATGAAAAGGATGGACTGGCCACCAGTGTGGTGTACAAAATAGGGGACCTTGGCCATGTGACGAGGGTGAACAATCCTCAAGTTGAAGAAGGCGATAGCAGGTTCCTGGCAAATGAAGTCCTTCAAGAGGTGAGTTGTTTTCTCTCCAGTAGAAACTTGCCACACCCCCTCCCCCTAGCTAAAGTATTATTAGAAAATTCAAGGTCATTCAAATGATTCTTTACAACGTTCCTAATCACGTCAACCTTTTCTCTCAGGACTACAGTAACTTGACGAAGGCGGACATCTTTGCCCTGGCCCTGACTGTGATCAGTGCCTCGGGGGCGGAGCCTCTGCCCACCAATGGGGACAAGTGGCATGAGATCCGTCAGGGAAAACTGCCACCCATCCCACAAGTGCTATCTCAGGAATTCCTGAGTCTTCTCAAGGTAAGAACTTGATGTTACTTCAAGCTTTTTCCTTTGAATTGTGATGTAGGTAAATTTAAGAAGGTTATGACTGTTTTCTAAAAGCAGTCCTTTTCCTCTTGACCCTTTGCTTATACCACAGCATTATTGAATACTTGTTTCTGATTGGCTAGAAGGGCATTCTAGAATGGACATTAAAACCAGATAACGGGACAGTTGGAAAATATAAGTTTCTATGCCACTGCTATTCAGTGGTGTTCACTGTCCTGTTATAGGACAAACTGATAAAGCTCTGTGATATTGCAAGATATACTGTTCATTTGAATTGTGCTCTCAAACATCAATTGGATTTACAGTTGCTAGTTTTCAGGTGGTAACCTCAGTTTTCTCCCCCTCCCCTGCAGCTGATGATTCACCCTGATCCCACCAGGCGGCCGTCCACCTCCGACCTCATCAAGCACCCGGTGCTGTTGACCGCAGCTAGAATGAGTGCTGACCAGCTCCGTGTGGAACTCAACGCAGAGAAGTTCAAGAACGCCCTGCTTCAGAAGTAAGTACAGAATGGCAATGGCACCAAAAGTGAAACAACGATCTGATGTAGCACAACTTTCCCCTAAGTCTGTTTTTGTCAACACCAAAGGCAGTGGTTAGCTAGTTGTTGCTCTTGCTTTTACATGGGTATACCAGTTTCTCCCTGCTGGCACCTTGTACCACTAGTGAGCCAACCTACCCATAGTGTGACATAAATTGATTCATTGACGGCTAAGTGACATTTGAAGATGTAGAAAAGGCGGGGCTTGTAGATTAGAGATTTGCGGTATGGACTTTTGGTTTCACCATCTGTTTGTCTCATGGTGCAGTGTTTCATTCAGGTTTGGTCTAACTGTTCATTGGTTTCCCCAGGGAGCTGAAGTTGGCCCAGATTGCCAAAGCTGCTGCTGAGGAGAAGGTTCTGTCCACGGACAGAGTCCTGACCCGCTCCACTGTCCAGCCCAACCCCAAAACCTCTAGACTCATCGGCAAGAAGATGAACCGCTCAATGAGCCTGACAATTTACTGAAACACAGACCCCCCCCCCCCCCCCCCCCCCCCCCCGAGTGGGGAACATGGACTGGAAAACTGATATCTAGGGAATTTGACTAGCTACGTATTCTGTTGGGTACAAGTGGTGAAAATGGACCCCATTTCCACTGGTCACAGGAGAGACTTTTCCCTGTCAAACTCAATGCTGTGGGTGGACCTTTCTTGTCAGACTCGGTCAAGACTGAGACTAGACATTGCCATACTCAATCAGTACTGACTTGTCAAATCAATTACCAGTAATCCTGGTAGTGGACTTCTCTTGACAGAGAGACCAAGCATTCCTTAAGGGAGTTACTGTACCTTTTTTTTCTTTGTCAGATCCAAGTCTAAGTAGATTGCAGAGGCTCTCCACTGTACTCCATGCACTTCCTTGAAAGCCTTGCTCTTTGATGGAGAGGGGCACAGAGAAGCCCTCCTCAGTGTGTGAACGTACCAGGCCACAGACGTGCGCACCTTACTGCCTGATGCCAGGCATCCGAGGGTCTGACAGACGATGCTGTTAAGAGCACTTTGGAAGCAACGGGGGAGAACTTGCCACATAACCCGCTGCTATTCATGTTTGTCTGTGTCCCAGGGGGTTAATGGATTTTTCGTTTTCCCTTATGGTCGTTTTAAATCATTGCACCTGTGATCATATTGTGGACCATAACCTTTTTTTTTTTGTTGTTGGTTTCAACTATCCACAATAAAAACAATTGTGAAAATGGATCATGCAATACATGTAAGAAAATTGTTTTAAGAAGTGCTTTCTTTGCCAAAATTAAACTGGTAGATTTACAGCCTCCAACCTTATGCTTCAATCCTGCCTGTGTAGCATTAAACAAATCATTGTCCTGTTCTCCCGTTTCTAACTCTGTTATAGCCTGTACATTGTTTTTAAAATAAATTCTTATCAAATTCATGCTGGTCTTCAAATTAATATCACATATTACATAAGGCCCTATATAAATATGTATTACCATCACCTTATCGCACAACTGTAACCAATTCAGTTCAATGTCAATAATCAAGTTTTATTTTGACTACATGCCAAGAGGAAGTGCAGGACTAAAATGTGCGCTGACACCGCTGGAAAAGCAAAGTGTCTGGCAGCTTATCACGTGACTGTCATTGTATCCTAGTATGAGAGAAACGTTCCCATACACGAACTACTTCTAGTCAAGCAAGCGCAATGGCACTACGAGACGAACTTTTAAAGGCAATATGGCATGCTTTCACATCGTTGGACGTGGACAAAAGCGGGAAAGTGTCCAAATCACAGTTAAAGGTATGGAATTATACTTACCTAGAGAATGTGATTGTCAATGAAACCCGAGGCACGTCGTTAACTTTATTAAATAATGTCACGCAGAAACCTTTTGAGCGTCTTGAAAAGAGGTTGGCATCAAAGTGAAGAGCACCTGATTTTGGTTGGACACTTATTAGTAATAGAGGATGCATTTGGAATTGTCCCCTGTAGAGCATGGCGCTTGCAACGCCAGGATTGTGGGTTCGTTTCCCACGGGGGGGATGCACTCACTAACTGTAAGTCGCTCTGACTAAAATGTCAAGTCATTTTAGCCCAAATCATTGTTTGCCTTCCTATTATTACAGCGCAGACCAGGTGCATGTCAGACTTCAGTGGTTTATGTAAACTACTTGTGGATGGTTAAAGGGAACCTCTTGTTTGTTATGGCACACCTGTTGACGTTAAGTGATTGTCAGAATATTTTGTTTATTTTAGACCATAATTGGAATAATAATTACATTGTTGAGAGAAGGGGGGCCCGAGTGAAAAGGTTTGGGAACCCCTGGTGTAGTTGCCTAGAACCCTTTCCAGTGACTGATGTGTTCAACGTCTTCAGTAAGTAGAGATACATGCTATTTGGGCATTGTTGCTGCATTTAATATAACTATCGGCTGTGTGTGAACTGTGAAGTCCTGATAAGAAGTGGGGTTTTCCTCTTTGCAGGTGCTCTCTCATAACTTGTGCACTGTGATGAGGATCCCCCATGACCCAGTGGCCCTTGAGGAGCACTTCAAACATGACGACGAAGGCCCTGTCTCTACTCAGGGCTACATGCCCTACTTGAACAAGTTCATTTTGGACAAGGTGAGCCCAACATAGTACAACTTAGAGTATCTATGCCCCTCAGTCAATCAATCAGTCACTCACTCACTCAGTCATTTACTGCTGTTTTACTGTTTTGTCTTCCTTCTGTTGATGTGATAAAGGGTCACTGAAGTCTAGGAGGAAGATGACAAGGTTAGAATCACATTGTTTTAGTTTGTCATCTTCAACCTTGACTTCAGTGAACGCTAGGGATTCTATTGTTGGTCAGAATTGGTCATTAGATTGAGAGTAAAGGATTCCTTTTCCAATATCACAACATGGATACCATGGTGACACATAGGCATTCCTTTGCCACTGTCATAAGGGTGAGAATTATTGTGTAACGTCATAAAGGGTTAGCAAAACAAGTTTGGCGCTTTCTGCTGGTGTCATAAAGGTTTACCATAGTGAAAGAATGGAATTTGTGTGTAAACTTACAATGTCACTGGTGACATTTGGACATTCTTTCTGCTGTCATAAAGGCTTACTATGGTGACTGGAATTCTTCAGTGGTGTCAGAAATAATTACTACAGCAAGACACATTTGTTCATTTCAAAGAGGGGTGCTTCTGTGACAGTTTTGTAGTTGTTGATTATATTAAAGGTTACCATGATGAGAATTTGTATGCTAATTCTTGTGAAATGTCACAGAGTTACACTTTATTTCATGAGATGTTTTATCGTAAATGTTTGGCATACTTGTTGTTTTCATACTTGTTGTTTTTCATGTCACAGAATTCTTGTGTGTTGTTCTAAAGAATTACTACAGCATTTATTGTCATCATCGACAGTTTAAAAATAGATTGTTTTCGGTTAACGTTTAAAAATGTTCCTGAGAACAACCCATTTTGAACTTGTTGTGCATTTCATAATCTGGGATTTCCATTTGAAGGCAGATATTTACTGCTCAAGTGCTTCCTATGACACACACGAGGAAATAGATGACAAGGGATTTTACAACCCACCTTCCAGTACATCAGCCCATTCTATTCTCTGACGTGTTGATATATCCTCTCCTGTCACTTCCTCAAGCTCTCATTCCTCTAGTATTACAAAAAGGTTTCAGGAACCTAGATATGACATCGTGGACAAATGTCAAGTCTCCCCACCCATGTGGATATGACCCTACCATACAGGTCAGGGGCACCACCCCCACTCCCCAGGGAAACTCCACCCTAACAGTCCTGTGTGTGTGTGTCAGTCACCCTCTTCCTCACTGAGTGACTACACTTGTTAGACAATTATGGTGACTCAGCTGGAGAGACAATCAAGTTCATCGCTGACTGTTCCATCATTCAGCACATCATTCCTCCTTGCCTACTGACCCTATAGAGCCTGGAATGCATTGTTAATTGGGAGCTTCATTTGTTCCCCTTTTGTCAGAAGGGGAACAAAAGAAAGCAATGCTACACAAACACCAGAGCACCCAAATAGTTCAAGGCTGTGAACATGTGACCTTAATTTAGTTAACATTTTAAGGCTGCTGTGGATGAATTATTTCCTCATTTCATGTCTTGCTAGTTCAACCCCTCTATCCGTCTTAGTCTTGCCTAAACCTCAACATATTTCAATCCACCTTTCATGATAGAGTAAGACACATGCTCTATATCATATTCTACCTTGTTTGTAATTTCACAATGACTTTTGATATCCGTCACCTGTCCTCTGCCCTCGCTAAACAGTAACAACAGGCATCTCTGTGTGATGTGACAATTTGATGGTAGGACGTTTCAGTCTCCTGGAGGGCCAAGGACAGTGATAAGACTGTTTGTAAACTTGTTAGGACATTCCACTGCAAAGAATGCTGATGAGCATGTGTATCTGCAGTGGAGAGGCAGGGCTGGGTGCTGGAGGGGACGTGACAAGGCCCCCATTGTTGAGGTGTGGAGAGGGAGGGAGGGAGGAGGAAGAAAGAGAGAGAGAGAGAGATCAGTCTGGACCAGCTAGTACGGAGCGAGAACGAGATGACCATGACACAACATCGTGAGGGCAAAGAGAGAGCTGCTATTTCATAACAATCTCACTTCTACTGCTCCTCCCTCTTTCTGCTTACCTCGCTGGTGTTGTGAAATTACGTTTCCCTTGAGTTGGTGTTATTGTGAAATTACGTTTCCCTTGAGTTGGTGTTATTATGAAATTACGTTTCCCTTGAGTTATCTTTACAGTGCAGTCTTTGACTCATCCAAAACAAACCACAGTTCTATAAATAGTGTCTGCTGGTGTTAGTTCAATGACCTGATTCTTACCTGGGCCACGTTCAATAGGCAAACTGTGTGGAACGTTGCAGTGAGAAATGTTATGAATAGACCTGACATTAAGCCCATGCTACATCTGAAAGAGTCATGTTTATCGTACGTAATTCTAACTGAACAGACCTATTGTAAAATATTCCCCCACCACCTTGTGAGGGAGAGGAAAATTAGAGACACATCGAACAGATTACTCAATAATGATAGCAATGTAAGCTATTATTTTGGATATATGTAATTTTATTATTGTGGATTTATACAACGGGTGGGTCTAATCCTGAATGCTGATTGGTTAAAACCGCATTCGAGTCTATTCCACAAGTTACCACCGGCTAAATCTATGACGTTAAAATGCCTATTTACTCTGTTCCACCTGACTGCGTAGTATGGGAGACCAAAGGCTGGATGGGTGACCTGTAGATAAATCAACTGTATTTATTCCAGTAGGAGGTGCTGCCCAGCCTTAACCATGAAACTCATATCTGAAAATTAAAACGTACACTGAACAAAAATATAAAGGCAACATGTAAAGTGTTGGTCCCATGTTTCATGAGCTGAAATAAAATATCCCAGATATTTATCTCAAATTTTGTGCACAAATGTTTCCATCCCTGTTAGTGAGCATTTCTCATTTGCCAAGATATTCCACACCTGTCAGGTGGATGGATTATAAAGATGCTGATTAAACAGCATGATCATTACACAGGTGCACCTTGTGCTGGGGACAATAAAAGGCCATCCTAAAATGCGCAGTTTTGTGACACAACACAATGCCACAGATGTCTCCAAGTTTTGAGGGAGCGTGCAATTGGCATGCTGACAGCAGGAATGTCCACCAGAGCTGTTGCCAGATAATTTAATGTTAATTTCACTATCAACGTCGTTTTAGAGAACTTGGCAGTACGTCCAACCGGCCTCACAACCGCAGACCATGTGTAACTACTCCAGTCACGCCAGCCTCCACATCCATCTTCTTCATCTGCAGGATCATCTGAGACCAGCCAACCAGAAACTGTGGGTTTGCGCAACCAAAGTATTTCTGCACAAACTGTTAGAAACCGTCTCAGGGAAGCTCATCTGCGTATTCGTCATCCTCACCAGGGTCTTGACATGACTGCAGTTCCGCGTTGTAACCAACTTCAGTGGGCAAATGCTCACCTTCGATGGCCACTGGCATGCTGGAGAAGTGTGCTCTTCACGGATGAATCCCGGTTTCAGCTGTACCGGGCAGATGGCAGACAGCGTGTATGGCGTCATGTGGGCGTGCGGTTTGCTGATGTCAACATTGTGAACAGAGTGCCCCATGGTGGCGTTACGGTATGGGCAGGTATAATCTACGGACAACGAACACAATTGCATTTTATCGATGGCAATTTGAATGCACAGAGATACTGTGACGAGATCCTGAGGCCCATTGTTGTGCCATTCATCCACCGCCATCCCTTCATGTTTCAGCATGATAATGCACGGCCCCATGTTGCAAGGATCTGTACATAATTCCTGGAATCGAAAAATGTCCCAGTTCTTCCATGGCCTGCATACTCACCAGACATGTCACCCATTGAGCATGTTTGGGACGCTCTGGATCGACGTACACAACAGTGTGTTCCAGTTCACCCCCCAATATCCACAATATCCAGCAACTTCGCACAGCCATTGAAGAGGAGTGGGACAACATTCCACAGGTCACAATTAACAGCCTGATCAACTCTATGCAAAGGAGATGTGTCATGCTGCATGAGTCACACCAGATACTGACTGGTTTTCTGATCCACGCCACTACCTTCTTTTTAAAGGTATCTGTGACCAACAGATGCATATCTGTATTCCCAGTCATGTGAAATCCATAGATTAGGGCCTCATTTATTTAAATTGACTTATTTCCTTATATGAACAGTAACGCAGGTGCATGTTGCGTTTAGTTTCGTTCAGTGTATATACAAATATTGTACTTTTCTTATAGTAATTCTCATGTTTTTGTATATGTTGACTAACAGTGCATTCGGAAAGTATTTAGACCCCTTACATTTTTCCACATTTTGTTACGTTACAGCCTTATTCTAAAATTGATTAAATAAATGTTCCTCATCAATCTACACACAATACCCCATAATGACAAAGCGAAAACAGGTTTTTAGAAATGTTTGCAAATGTATATAAAAAAAAGAAAAAAAAGAAACAGTATTCAGACCCTTTGCTATGAGACTCGAAATTGAGCTCAGGTGCATCCTGTTTCCATTGATCATCCTTGAGACCAAGCCATGAGGTTGAAGGAATTGTCCGTAGAGCTCCGAGACAGGATTGTGTCGAGGCACAGATCTGGAGAAGGGTACCAAAACATTTCTGCAGCATTTAAGGTCCCCAAGAACACAGTGGCCTCCATCATTCTTAAATGGAAGAAGTTTGGAACTACCAAGACTCTTCCTAGAGCTGGCCGCCCGGCCAAACTGAGCAATCGGGGGAGAAGGGCCTTGGTCAGGGACGTGACCAAGAACCCGATGGTCATTCTGACAGAGCTCTGACAGAGCTCCAGGCCTTTATGGTAGAGTGGCCAGACGGAAGCCACTCTTCAATAAAAGGCGCACGACAGCCCGCTTGGAGTTTGCCAAAAGGCACCTAAAGGACAAGATTCTCTGGTCTGATGAAACCAAGATCAAACTCTTTGGCCTGAATGCCAAGAGTCACATCTGGAGGAAACCTGGCACCATCCCTACGGTGAAGCATGGTGGTGGCAGCATCATGCTGTGGGGATGTTTTTCAGCGGCAGGGACTGGGAGACTAGTCAGGATTGAGGGAAAGATGAACAGAGTAAAGTAGAGAGATCCTTGATGAAAACCTGCTCCAGAGCTCTCAGGACCTCAGACTGGGGCGATGGTTCACCTTCCAACAGGACAACGACCTTAAGCATACAGCCAAGACAATGCAGGAGTGGCTTCGGGACAAGTCTCTGAATATCCTTGAGTGGCACAGCCAGAGCCCGGACTTGAACCCGATCAAACATCTCTGGAGAGACCTGAAAATAGCTGTGCAGCGACGCTCCCCATCCAACCTGACAGCTTGAGATGATCTGCAGAGAAGAATAGGAGAAACTTCCAAAATACAGGTGTGCCAAACTTGTAGCGTCATACCCAAGAAAACTTGAGGCTGTAATCGCTGCCAAAGGTGCTTCAAAAAAGTACTGAGTAAAGGGTCTGAATACTTATGTAAATGTTATATTTCAGTTTTTTATTTTTAATACATTTGCAAACATTTCTAAAAACCTGTTTTTGCTTTGTCATTATGGGGTATTGTGTGTAGATTAATGAGGGGGGAAAACGATTTAATCAATTTTAGAATAAGGCTGTAACGTAACATGTGGAAAAACTCAAGGGGTCTGAATACTTTCCGAATGCACTGTATATAAACAATGTGAAACCTATAAGGAAAATATTTATTTTGTAGAGGTTAAAATGTCAGAACATACACAGAACATACACACAACTCATAGATGACTCATATTTTGTCTCAAATACCATATCTTTGTAAGAAATTCACCACAATCATGTAGTGACTTGTGTATGTCATATGACATAAGTTAACACACATACACTACTAACATATAACATACAAAATCTTACCAGATACTTATTAGCTTTTAATCTTATTCTGCCATAAAATATTCTTATTTGCTTTTCATTATTATTTTTCATATGGGAGGAGCATTTTCAGCTTTTTGTTTGTGGTCATTTTAGTCTTTCATTCAGATTAGGGTGTAGTTAGATGTGTGTTTTAAACACTCCTAAAGCTGTCTCCTGACCATAATACACATACTGTTTGTGTTTCAATAGTCTGTTTCTCTGTTTATGCACATCTTGCTATTTGTAGATTGCTGATAATCAGTATCAGGTCTATCGCTTGTGGTTTAGCTGAGTTGAGTCATGCATCTATATAAACAGCTAAGTGTCGTTCCATGTCATTTCAGCAAGCCATGACACCCACCATCTCAGATTGTTCTGTAATCGTTTTTGAAATAGATACAATTAGCATTCCTTCAACATTTTGTTGAAATATAATTTAATCTCTGAGAAATTTAAGCAAATTTATTGCACCCAAATTGGCCATTTTCAATTATAGGATTCATTAATATTCAGTAGAAATACTACATAACATCCGATTTGAAATACAAATATTCTAACAATGAGTAAGACATTCCAAAGAAATGGTCAAGCCACCCACGGACCTCACGCCAAATATACCCCAACAACAAGTATACAGTAGGAGTTCTCTGTTTGACAAGTAGTATAGAGCTGCAGCTCGGGAGTATTGTTTCCGTCATCCAATGGAATAAATTCTCAGTGAATTTGGTGTTGTTTTTTCCCCTGTTCAGAGAAATTAGTAATTGAAGTTAGGTTTATGTCCCATCCCATCCTATCCGTCCTGATATTACCAGGATCTGACCACTAGATGGTGCTGTTCCTGCTAATAAGTGATAAAACAAATAGAATCCCCCCCTCTAAATGTTAAAGTTTTCGTTCACCCAAATTAGAAAATGACATTGGTTTCCTTACCCTGTAAGTGGTCTATGGACAAGATATGACAGAAACCCATTCTTTTTTGTTTTTGTTTACCTGGCCACAGATTCAAATGCTAACTTTTTAGCATTTGTGGCACAAATCCAATGCAAGTCAATTGCACCTATATTCGCTTTTTTGAGCTTCATATCCAAATAACATAATTGAGTTACACAATCAATTTTTTGATACTTTAGCGAGAAAATGCTAATAAATGTACCATTGACTTGCATTGGATTTGTGCCACAAATGCCAAAAAAAATAGCATTTGAAACAGTGGCCAGGTAAACAGAATCCAAGTATGGGTTGATTTCATTTTGATTTCATTGATAGTTAATCCTATCATCCATAACTCTATTTGAGTCGTTAAATTTCTTCAGCCCCATCCCTCAGCTGTTTACCAAAAACGACGTTTCTCCTTTCATTCTGTCCTATTAATTTGGTTTGATTTGTGTGTTAGTCAAAGCGACACTGACTTTATGATCTTCCGTGCCATTTTAAACCTTAACTGTAGTATAAAGAGAAGAGTGAAGAGGTCCTTAGTACAGTCAGCTTGTTGTTGTGTTTTTCTCATATGAAAAATGCCGGTCTCCAGCCAAGTGACGTGACTTGAGAAAATGTTCCTGATTGCAGGTCCAGGACAACTTTGACCGGCAGGACTTTAACAGAATGTGCTGGACCCTGTGCGCCCGGAAGAACCTCAACAGAACCCACCTCCTTATCTCGGACGAAGACGCTTTCAAGATCTGGTGCATCTTCAACTTCCTATCTGAAGACAAATACCCACTGGCCATCGTCAATGAGGAGGTGAGATTGGACGGGGTTGTGTTCATTGGGCACCAAACAGAGGACAATGGACTGAAACAGGCAGGGACCATCCAATAAGAAACACTCGTTTCCATTTTCTGTTGTTAAAGGTTTTAAAACGTTTCCGTCGAGTGCCCTAATGAACATGAACTGGGTTCTGATGCTGGCACATTTAGCCCCAACACAAACCCGACTTTGTGCAAAGTTTAGGTTGATCATTAACAGATCAGTAATCAGTTGTAAAGCTAATCAGTCTGAAACTCATGATATAACATTGTTTTCGTGTTCCGTATCAACGATACCTCTACCTCTGTCACAATGGAATACATAAGAAGGGAGTAGGTTATAGGTAAATAAGTATTGTTCAGATCCACTGGTACACTTTTCGTACTACTTTGGAGAAACACTCTCACCATTGCCCAACAGCTCTCACAGAAAAGGAAGTTAGCAGCTTGCTGTTAAATTACAACACGGCAGGATTTATTATAAGGTTATTAATGGAAACTATGTGTAGTTTCATATAATTATTGCTGTGAGGTTAGTACTCCCTTTTATTATTCCACATAAACACATGTACTGTAACATACAGATTGTGTCACTTCAAAAGGTAGTATGGGTATTTTTTTAAATGTTGGTGTGCGTGTACGCTAACCTGTCTGTGTACTCACCTGTGTCTCTTCACCGCCTCCCTTCAGATTGAGTACTTCCTGCGCAAGCTGACGGAGGCCATGGGTGGCAGTTGGGTGGAGGAGCGCTTTGAGGACTACAAGCTAGAGCTGAGCATCAAGCAGCAGTGTCTGAGTGTCTGGGAGCTCATCACCCTGGTGGGCACGGGCACCTTCAGCAAGGGCATGGACTGCCAGACCCTCTCCATGGGTATCACCGAGGTCTTCCACGAGCTCATCCTTGACATATTCAAACAGGTTGGCATCAGAGCCATTTATATCTCCATATATGTTGACATCAAGCACACTACCGTCCTCCATGTGACCATGGTTGATTGATAGCATTGACCCGTGTTATGTACTAGCAAAACTATAGCATGGAGTTAGCTTTTAAACACCAAACACCAGAGCAATGGTCAGTGGAGTGCAGTAGGGAGCCATGTTATAGGGACCACATCAATATTGATGATTAGAATCTCATATGCAACACCACAAACTCATCCTGTTGGCTGTGCAGTGGTCAAGTAAGCAGTTAAACTGACAGGAGCCGTCCAAGTAGCTCAACACAGCTATTAACACAAACAGACAGATGTCAAAAAAGACAGAAACATACAACTGTCTGAGCCTCCTGTATTCTCTTGTTGCAGGGCTACATGATGAAAAAGGGCCACAAGAGGAAAAACTGGACAGAGCGCTGGTTCCTCCTGAGGCCAAACTCCATTTCCTACTACGTGAGCGAGAACCTGGCCGAGAAGAAGGGCGACATTGTGCTGAATGGAAATTGCTCTGTCGAGGCAAGGAACACTAAACAACAACAAACAAGGCTCATACATTAATGTTACACATTAACCTAACTAGTAAGATACACTGGGTGGTTCAAGCCCTGAATGCTGATTGGCTGACAGCCGTGGTATATCAGACCGTATACCATGGGTATGACAAAACATGTATTTTTACTGCTCTAATTACATTGGTAACCAGTTTATAATAGCAATAAGGCACCTTGGGGGTTTGTGATATATGGCCAATATACCACGGCTAAGGGCTGTGTCCAGGGACTCCGCATCGTGCCTAAGAACAGCCCTTAGCTGTGGTATATTAGCCATATACCACACCACCTCGTGCATTATTGCTTAAATATACACTGAGTGTACAAAACATTAGAAACGCCTTCCTAATATTGAGTTGCACCCCCTTTTGCCTTCAGAACAGCCTCAATTTGTCAGGGCATAGACTCTACAAGGTGTCGAAAGCGTTCCACAGGGATGCTGGCCCATGTTGACTCCAATGCTTCCCACAGTTGTGTCAAGTTGGCTGGATGTCCTTTAGGTGCTGGACCATTCTTGATACACACGGGCAACTATTGAGAGTGAAAAACCTTGCAGCATTGACACACTCAAACTGGTGCGCCTGGCACCTACTACCATACCCTGTTCAAAAGGCACATTAATATTTTGTCTTGCCCATTCACCCTCTGAATGGCACACATACACAATTGTCTCAATGCTTAAAAATCCTTCTTTAATCAGTCTCCTCCCCTTCATCTACACTGATTGAAGTGGATTTAACATGTGACATCAATAAGGGATCATCGCTTTCACCTGGATAGTCTATGTCATGGAAAGAGCTGGTGTTCCTAATGTTTTGTATACTCAGTGTACGTTGGTGAAATAGTGAAAAGATGTAATGAAATTGTCTTTGCAGTCGTTACCGGATAAGGAAGGAAAGAAGTGCCTGTTCTACATCAAATGCTCTGACAAAAGCTATGAGATCAACGCGTCAGATAAGAAGAGGAAACAGGAATGGATTCAGGGTACGAAGTGGACATATTGAATTCATATTTAATCAGAAATTAAATGACTCAAACATAGCTCATACCGTATTAGATTAAAAAAAGTATATTGTTTTTGCACTTCAAATCCTGTTGTTGTGTAATGTAACTCTTGTAGTTCACAATTCTCTCACCATGCAATTTATCTCCTTTCGGTATTATGGAAAGCATGGACTGGACATCTAGACTTTGTTGAGACGTATAAGTACAGGGGCGTGTTCAGCAGAGCACAACGTTGTGGAATGTTCAGATAGAAATATGTTATGTAGAATAGACATGCCTCTCTGACATGTAGAATAAGGAATCCTATCAGCTTTACTCATCACATTTCTATCTGCAACATTCCACAACGTTTGCCTAGACTGAACATGGCCCAGCCTTGGTACTGACCCCTGTCTGGTGTGTCTCCTCTCCATCTCAGCCATCCAGATGTGCATCAGTCTGCTGAAGCTGGGACGGTCGGCGCCGCACTGCGAGTCCCGTCAGAAGCGGCGGGAGTTGAGGCAGAAACAGCAAGCGGAGCAGGAGGAGCTGGAGCTTAGGATGAGAGAGCTGCAGACGGCCAACGAGAACAAGCAGCACCAACTGGAGGCCATGAGGAAGGTGAGCCCAGCCAGCCCACTCACAACGGTCAAAGTCCTCCCTTTGCTACTATGCCCTTTTCACACTACTGAGCTGAGCTACACTGTGCTGGCCTAGTTATGCATCCACAATGTGAAAAAGACAATGTGAAGAGAAAACATCCAAGCCAGCACAGTAAGGTAGTGGGAAAATGATACTAGCGCCATTATAATCCATCCACCATGGTTCTTAGTCTAGGATTGTCAGTGCTGTTAGACTAACTGGAAGTCATGAGGATGTTTGCTGAATCACCCAAAACAGTGGGAAAAAAGTGGAAAGTGGGGAGGCAGAGAGAAAAAGTGTTCTCTCTACAGATGTAGGATCTTAATTTGATCACTCTTTTGTTGCTGAGAATTTTCCTGCAATGCAAGAAATGCAGTTGAGCTTCATGATTTACATAAATTCACTGAAAACAGCACTAACATGGTTATACTAACAGTAGGGGAGAGTGGGGTAAGTTGAGCCACCCTTGTTTCTTGGAAACCATACACCAAATGTATAATTTTACCAAATACAGTGGGGGAAAAAAGTATTTAGTCAGCCACCAATTGTGCAAGTTCTCCCACTTAAAAAGATGAGAGAGGTCTGTAATCTTCATCATAGGTACACGTCAACTTTGACAGACAAATGGAGAGAAAAAAAAATGATTTTTTATGAATTTATTTGCAAATTATGGTGGAAAATAAGTATTTGGTCACCTACAAACAAGCAATATTTCTGGCTCTCACAGACCTGTAACTTCTTCTTTAAGAGGCTCCTCTGTCCTCCACTCGTTACCTGTATTAATGGCACCTGTTTGAACTTGTTATCAGTATAAAAGACACCTGTCCACAACCTCAAAACAGTCACACTACAAACTCCACTATGGCCAAGACCAAAGAGCTGTCAAAGGACACCAGAAACAAAATTGTAGACCTGCACCAGGCTGGGAAGACTGAATCTGCAATAGGTAAGCAGCTTGGTTTGAAGAAATCAACTGTGGGAGCAATTATTAGGAAATGGAAGACATACAAGACCACTGATAATCTCCCTCGATCTGGGGCTCCACGCAAGATCTCACCCCGTGGGGTCAAAATGATCACAAGAACGGTGAGCAGAAATCCCAGAACCACACGGGGGGACCTAGTGAATGACCTGCAGAGAGCTGGGACCAAAGTAACAAAGCCTACCATCAGTAACACACTACGCCGCCAGGGACTCAAATCCTGCAGTGCCAGACGTGTCCCCCTGCTTAAGCCAGTACATGTCCAGGCCCATCTGAAGTTTGCTAGAGTGCATTTGGATGATCCAGAAGAGGATTGGGAGAATGTCATATGGTCAGATGAAACCAAAATAGAACGTTTTGGTAAAAACTCAACTCGTCGTGTTTGGAGGACAAAGAATGCTGAGTTGCATCCAAAGAACACCATACCTACTGTGAAGCATGGGGGTGGAAACATCATGCTTTGGGGCTGTTTTTCTGCAAAGGGACCAGGACGACTGATCCGTGTAAAGGAAAGAATGAATGGGGCCATGTATCGTGAGATTTTGAGTGAAAACCTCCTTCCATCAGCAAGGGCATTGAAGATGAAACGTGGCTGGGTCTTTCAGCATGACAATGATCCCAAACACACCGCCCGGGTATCGAAGGAGTGGCTTCGTAAGAAGCATTTCAAGGTCCTGGAGTGGCCTAGCCAGTCTCCAGATCTCAACCCCATAGAAAATCTTTGGAGGGAGTTGAAAGTCCGTGTTGCCCAGTGACAGCCCCAAAACATCACTGCTCTAGAGGAGATCTGCATGGAGGAATGGGCCAAAATACCAGCAACAGTGTATGAAAACCTTGTGAAGACTTACAGAAAACGTTTGACCTGTGTCATTGCCAACAAAGGGTATATAAGAAAGTATTGAGAAACTTTTGTTATTGACCAAATACTTATTTTCCACCATAATTTGCAAATAAATTCATAAAAATTCTCATTTTGTCTGTCATAGTTGACGTGTACCTATGATGAAAATTACAGGCCTCTCTCATCTTTTTAAGTGGGAGAACTTGCACAATTGGTGGCTGACTAAATACTTTTTTCCCCCACTGTAGTTAGGAAGAGGTCATCATTTCATGGAGTCTGTGAAGGACTATTTTAGCCCCCTTTTCTCCACAATTTTGATCTCTTCTCATCGCTGCAACTCCTCAAGGTGCTCAGGAGGCGAAGGTCGAGTCATGCGTCCTCCGAAACATGACCCGCCAAACTGCGCTTCTTAACACCTGCCCGCACCAATGTGTCGGAGGAAACGCACTTCAACTGACGACAGAGGTGAGCCTGCAGGTGCCCGGCCTGCCACAAGGAGCTGCTAGAGCGCAATGAGCCAAGTAAAGCCCCCCCCCGGCCAAACCCTCCCCTAACCCGGACGACGCTGGGCCAATTGTGCGCCGCCCTATGGGACTCCCGATCACAGCCGGTTGTGACAAAGCCCGGGATCGAACCCGGGTCTGTAGTGACGCCTCTAGCACTGCGATGCAGTGCCTTAGACCGCTTCGTCACTCGGGAGGCCCCAAAAAACGATTTTCCACCAAGTCAAATTAAGTTGTTAGAGGTTTCATGAACCTTGTATATAAACCAAAGTAGATCATTTTAAGATTGTTCTATACAGTGCCTTCAGAAAGTATTCATACCCCTTGACTTATTCCACATTTTGTTGTGTTACAGCCTGAATTCGAAATGGTTAAATATTTTTTTCCTCATCCATCTACACATAATACCACATAATGACAAAGTGAAAACCTGTTTTTGCAAATGTATTAAAACTGAAATACAGAAATATCTCATTTACATACATAAGTATTCACACCCCTGAGTCAATACTTTGTAGAAGCACCTTTGGCAGCGATTATAGCTGTGAGTCTTTCTGGATAAATCTCTAAGAGCGTTCCACACCTGGATTGTGCAACATTTGCCCATTTTTCTTTAAAAAAATCTTCAAGCTCTGTCAAGTTGGTTGTTGATCATTGCTAGACAACCATTTTCAGGTCCTGCCATAGATTTTCAAGTAGATTTAAGTCAAAACTGTAACTCGGGCACTCAGGAACATTCACTGTCTTTTTGGTAAGCAACTCCAGTGTAGATTTGGCTGTGTGTTTTATGTTGTTGTCCTGCTGAAAGGTGAATTAAATCTCCCAGTGTCTGGTGCAAAGCAGACTGAACCAAGTTTTCCTCTAGGATTTTGCCTGTGCTTAGCGCCATTCCGTTTCTTTTATATCCTGAAAAACTCCCCAGTTCTTAACTATTACAAGCACACCCATAACATGAAGCAGCCACCACTATGCTTGAAAATATGGAGAGTGGTACTCAGTAATGTGTTGTATTGGATTTGCCCCAAACATAACACTTTGTATTCAGGACAAAACATTAATTGCTTTGCCAAATTTTTTGCAATATTTACTTAGTGCCTTGTTGCAAACAGGATGCTTGTTTTGGAATATGTTTTATTCACTCTGTCAATTAGGTTAGTAATGTGGTGTAACTACAATGTTGTTGATCCATACTCAGTTTTCTCCTATCACAGCCATTCAATTCTGTAACTGTTTTAAGGTCACCATTGGCCACATGGTGAAATCCCTTAGCGGTTTCCTTCCTCTCCGACAACTGAGTTGGGAAGGACACCGGTCTCTTTCTAGTGACTGAGTGTATTGATTCACCATCCAAAGTGTAATGAATAACTTCACCATGCTCAAAGGGATATTCAATGTCTGCTTTTTTTAAACGTTTACCCATCTACCAATAGGTGCCCTTCTTTGTGAGGCATTGGAAAACCTCCCTGGTCTTTGTGGTTAAATCTGTGTTTGAAATTCACTGCTTGACTGAGGGACCTTGAGATGAGGTAGATTCAAAAATCATGTTAAACACTATTATTGTACATAGCGTGAGTCCATGCCATTTATTATGGGACTTGTTAAGCACATTTGTACTCCTGAACTTACAGTGCATTCGGAAAGTATTCAGACCCCTTGACTTTTTCCACATTTTGTTACATAACAGCCTTATTCTAAAATTGATAAAATATTTTTTTCTCATCAATCTACACACAATACCCCATAATGACAAAGCAAAAACAGGTTTTTAGAAACGTTTGCACATTTAAAAAAAATAAAAAACGAAAATATTACATTTACATAAGCATTCAGACCATTTACTCAGTACTTTGTTGAAGCAACTTTGGCAGCGATTACAGCCTCGGGTCTTCTTGGGTATGACGCTACAAGCTTGGCACACCTGTATTTGGGGAGTTTCTCCCATTCTTCTCTGCAGATCCTGTCAAGCTCTGTCAGGTTGGATGGGGAGCGTCCAGATTTTCAGGGTCTTTCCAGAGATGTTCTATTGGGTTCAAGTCCGAGCTCTGGTTGGGTCCGGTTGGGCCACTCAAGGACATTCAGAGACTTGTCCCGAAGCCACTCCTGCGTTGTCGCGGCTGTGTGCTTAGGGTCGTTGTTCTGTTGGAAGGTGAACCTTTGCCCCAGTCCGGTCCAGAGCAGGTTTTCGTCAAGGATCTCTCTGTACTTTGCTCTGTTCATATTTCCCTCAACCCTGACTAGTCTCCCAGTCCCTGCCGCTGAAAAACATCCCCATAGCATGATGCTGCCACCACCATGCACCATAGGGATTGTGCCAGGTTTCCTCCAGACATGACACTTGGCATTCAGGCCAACGAGTTCAATCTTGGTTTCATCAGACCAGAGAATCTTGTTTCTCATGGTTTGAGAGTTCTTTAGGTGCCTTTTGGCAAACTCTAAGCGGGCTGTCATGTGCCTTTTACTGAGGAGTGGCTTCCGTCTGGCCACTCTACCATAAAGGCCTGATTGGTGGAGTGCTGCAGAGATGGTTGTCCTTCTGGAAGGTTCTCCCATCTCCACAGAGGAACTCTGGAGCTCTTTCAGAGTGACCATCGGGTTCTTGGTCACCTCCCTAACCAAGGCCCTTCTCCCCCGATTGCTCAGTTTGGCCGGACAGCCAGCTCTAGGAAGAGTCTTGGTGGTTCCAAACTTCTTCCATTTAAGAAAGATGGAGGCCACTGTGTTCTTGGGGACCTTCAATGCTGCAGAAATGTATTGGTACCCTTCCCCATATACGTGCCTCGACACAATCCTGTCTCGGAGCTCTACGGACAATTCCTTCGACCTCATGGCTTGGTTTTTGCTCTGACATTTTTACATTGACATTTTAGTCATTTAGCAGACACTCTTATCCAGAGCGACTTACAGTTAGTGAGTGCATACATTTTTTCATACTGGCCCCCCGTGGGAAACTAACCCACAACCCTGGCATTGCAAGCTCCATGCTCTACCAACTGAGCTACAGGAGGACATGCACTGTCAACTGTGGGACCTTATATAGACAGGTGTGTGCGTTTCCAAATCATGTCCAATCAATTGAATTCACCACAGGTGGACTCCAATCAAGTTGTAGAAACATCTCAAGGATGATGAATGGAAACAGGATGCACCTGAGCTCAATTGAGTCTCATAGCAAAGGATCTGAATACTTATGTAAATAAGGTATCGTTTTTATTTTATTTTATACATTTGCAAACATTTCTAAAAACCTGTTTTCGCATTGGGGTATTGTGTGTAGATTGAGGATTTTTAAAAATGTAATCAATTTTAGAATAAGGCTGTAACGAAACAAAATGTGCAAAAATGGGAAGGGGTCTAAATACTTTCCGAATGTAATGTATTTAGGCTTGCCATAACAAAGGGGTTGAATACTTATTGACTCAGACATTTCGGCTTTGAATTTAATTAATTTGTAAAAGTTTCTAAAAACATAATTCCACTTTGACATTGTGGGGTATTGTGTGTCGGCCAGCAAAAAACAACAACACACAATTTAATCAATTTTAAATTCAGGCTGGTCTCTAGCTTAAATATGAGGTCCTAAACCTTGCATGAAAGTGCATGCTTGTAGATCTGTGGGCTAATATAGTAAAAATGTTTCCCTTGGGGTAAGTTGAGCCAATGGCCATGGGTTAAATTGAGCCAATGGTTGAGTCAATGACAAGTTGAGCAAATTGAAGTGTTGGCTTCTCAGGTGTAATGTAAGGTCCTGTTGTTACCTCATATCCCAGCGATTAAAAAGTAAAGTGTTTGTTAGGTGTTAAGCCTGTGTTAAAAGATGCTAAAATGATTAAAAGACAAGAAAGCCGTTGTGATTGGGTTGAATTGTGTTTGGTAAATAAAGATAGATATGGTTTTAGAAAGGTAGTGGTAATATTTAATTCAGTACAGACATTTGTAGGCGGCTCAACTTGCCCTGTCCTGCAGTGTCACTTTCACTTAACTTGTTTTTCCAGCTACAGTACCTCTCTTAATCCTGATTAAGTTCTTTAGTATGGCCTTCTGATGCAGTTTATTCACAGTTTAAATCCAATTATCGCTGGTCAGTTGGGGGTCTCTAATTACAGATGAAATGTCACTTAAATTAGATGTTTCCTCATTTCACTCATCAGCAGACAAACATGGAATACATAATGGCAATATTCTCCTATTGAGCTGATTATACTAACAAGGCAGTTCCAGTTATGAGTGAAATAACATTCACAAATGTTATCTTATGTGGTCATTTCATTTCACTGTTATAGTGCTAACAACGTTTCATTCACACCCTCTATTTGCTGTAGAGATTGGTAAGAGAGATTGAGCTCTAAAATCCAGTACATTCCAATAACAGTACATGTCTTCAATACCCATTGTAGCTGAGCTCTTATAGATGAGACTCATGACAATTCATCTGGACAAGCTCACACGAGACATACAATACAACAATACAATACAACTTTATTGTCCAATGTAACCCATATAGTGTTGCCGTGGACAATCATTAGATTTACTGAGGCAACAATCTCTCTTTGTCTAAACATTCATTGTGCCTCTACTACTCGATGCATAATAAATGAACAACAATCTCCCATTGAGGTGCAACAAGTCCCCATCTCTCATACTCTCTGATACACACAGGAATGGATGTTGAGGGTCAACCCCCTTAAAACCCTTTAACCCTGGGTTCACGTGTACACAATAGCCACTGTGATGGGCTGGTCACTTCACACTAACCTGCCATGGTGAGTGAGTAACGAACAAGAAAGGCACAGCTGCATGGAAAGAGTCAAATGGAGATGAATCACCAATTAACAACCCAAGGGGAAATCTGAAGTTCAAACAACAAAGCAGCCCTGCCACTGTGTTGGCAAACAGCTGAAATATGGGGCTGTAGAAATGTAACTACTCTGAAATTCATAGGCAGAACTATGGATGCAAGGATTGACCATCTGTGAGATCAAAATTATAGTTTTAACAATTTTTTTTTTTGAGTCTACACACAATGTTGGTTTACATTTACATTTACATTGTTTGACTCCATTGTTTGTAAACAATCCTATATTTTGGGTTCTGATGGACTGCTCATTAGGCATCAAAATTATTTTCTTCAAGAGTCACTGTGTACGTATAATTAATTTAAAAGTCATAAAATGGATGTATCAACTAAATAATGCCCCTTTGAAAGTAGTTTGGGAAAAATAGCTAATTCAGAAAGAAAAAAATGATATGAAAGAGGTTTCAATCAACATATTGATCCTAATATGGTTTAATCCAACGACTCACTAAATTAAGATACATTTCTTGCTATGCATTGTCAGCACAAGATTACATTGGAAAATCTTGATAAGAAGGGTGTTTTTTGGGCTGCGAAGACGCCATGTCAGACTTCAGTGCTGTGCTTTCAATTCCTCTTTAGGAACTGTTCAGATAGCTTTACCTGCTTTGTTTACAAAGCAACATATCCATTAGCTTAGGTTAAGAATTGAGGTCATGCATTGCATTGTGTAGATTTAACTTTCAATTCAGTCAATTCAGGAAGTGGTTTAAAATTCAGAAACGCCATCAACTTTGTCGGAGAGAAGATGATGTGTATCTGTCGTCAATTATGTTCAATTTTGTAACAACTGTCCCCTCTGCTATTGGTCAGAAACTGGAGGAGGCGGCGGCCAACGCGGCGGAGGAGGAGAGGAGCCGCCTGCAGATCCAGACTGAACTACAGGATCGCTACAGGATGGACCTGGAGAGGGAGAAAATGGTACCTACCTAGCAACTCACAATTTAGCGGTCAAAGGAGAAAATGGTACCTACCTAGCTACTCACAATTTAGCGGTCAAAGGAGAAAATGGTACCTACCTAGCAACTCACAATTTAGCGGTCAAAGGAGAAAATGGTACCTACCTAGCTACTCACAATTTAGCGGTCAAAGGAGAAAATGGTACCTACCTAGCTATGTCGTAGAAATGTATCCCTATACTTATTAAAAATCAAAGTTCTTCCAGAGTTTTTGTAGAATCAAGATAGACTATTACACAAAGCAACAAAAGCCGAGCTGATCTGCAGACCAACTAACTCCCAATACTTGTCCCTCAGTTTATATACAATTTCCATTCCTGCTCATTTTACATACTTTTTGCCTAATCCCTCCCAGTTTAGCTCCTCCACCATTGTTTCCAAACGTTCATCTTTTAAACGCTCCGCCCACTCCATTTATGATAGTGGCGAAATCTGACTTCTCCTCCTATTTATTCAGTTTGAAAACAATAGTGGCAGAACCAAGCTTTCTCATGTAAAAAATAGCAGAGCCATCTCCTGGCTCTGCTCTGTTTATTCAAAAACATATCAATCAATACTTAAATATGGTTTAAACATGGCAGGTCCATAACCCATTCTCAACCATATATATTTAAGACATTCCTAATGCATTGCTTCATGCATAACAGTATAATCAATCAAGAGCCATGTCCTGACTCTGGCTCAGCCTCCCTCCTTGTGGACCACTCGGTACCACACTCCATATTCACTTAGTCATACTGCTTGTCTTTATGATTGTCTTTATGATTATGTTTTAATCTTTATAGTCAACAAATATTTACTATGTTTAACCTATGGTCTGACCTTGTGTACCACTCGGTACCATGGCTCTGTATGGTCTACTGAAAAATATCACAAGCTACTCACAGTTTAGCGGTCAAAGGGGAATATGTTTAGACTGTAAACTACACCCACCGCTGACTACTACCCCTTATGTGGCCGGCTACTTAATTGACTTTAACAAAATTGCCCCTCACACTTTTAGTTGGCTACTTTTTCATTAGTTGTCCTGCACCCTGTGAGACTTCAAGGAGTAGGTAGAAGTTGTCCTGCACCCTGTGAGAATTCAAGGAGTAGGTACAAGTTGTCCCTAACCACTGATTCAGCTCATTCAGCAGTTTCTCTTGATTTATTCAGTCAATTCTTGGGTCCATGAAAATGATTGCAACTTTCTAGTTATTTTATCCTCCCATTTATGCCCCTAAGCTCATAACCTCTGACATTTAGTCCATACATCCTACTGACCGACTTTATAAATTACATCCTCCGTTCATAGGACTGCCATCAATAAGGTGTTACATTTCTTTCTCTCAGCTCAATTTTTTTTATATATATATTTTTATTTCACCTTTATTTAACCAGGTAAGCCAGTTGGGAACAAGTTCTCATTTACAACTGCTACCTGGCCAAGATAAAGCAAAGCAGTGCGATAAAAACAACAGAGTTACATATGGGGTAAACAAAACATAAAGTCAAAAATACAACAGAAAATATATATATACAGTGTGTGCGAATGTAGTAAGTTATGGAGGTAAGGCAATAAATAGGCCATAATACGAAATTGTAACTATTTTGCACTAACACTGGAATGATAGATGTGCAAAAGATGATGTGCAAATAGAGATACTGGGGTGCAAATTAGCAAAATAAATAACAAAATGGGGATGAGGTAGTTGGTTGGGCTAATTTCAGAATGGCTGTGTACAGGTGCAGTAATCGGTAAGCTGCTCCGACAACTGATGCTTAAAGTTAGTGAGGGAGATAAGGGTCTCCAGCTTCAGATATTTTTGCAGTTCGTTCCAGTCATTGGCAGCAGAGAACTGGAAGGAATGGCGGCCAAAGGAGGTGTTGGCTTTGGGGATGACCAGTGAGATATACTTGCTGGAGCGCAGACTACGGGTGGGTGTTGCTATGGTGACCAGTGAGCTAAGATAAGACAGGGATTTGCTTAGCAGTGATTTATAGATGACATGGAGCCAGTGGGTTTGGCACTGCCAGTTTGCCAGTGGGTTTGTAGTGAGGGCCAGCCAACAAGAGCGCACAGGTCAATGGTGGGTAGTATATGGGGCCTTGGTGACAAAACGGATGGCACTGTGATAGACTACATCCAATTTGCTGAGTAGAGTGTTGGAGGCTATTTTGTAAATGACATCGCCGAAGTCAAGGATCGGTAGGATAGTCAGTTTTACGAGGGCATGTTTGGCAGCATGAGTGAAGGAGGCTTTGTTGCGAAATAGGAAGTTGATTCTAGATCTAACTTTTGATTGGAGATGCTTAATGTGAGTGTGGAAGTAGAGTTTACAGTCTAACCAGACACCTAGGTATTTGTAGTTGTCCACATACTCTAGGTCAGACCCGCCGAGAGTAGTGATTCTAGTCGGGTGGGCGGGTGCAAGCAGCGTTCGGTTGAAGAGCATGCATTTAGTTTTACTAGTGTTTAAGAGCAGTTGGAGGCTACAGAATGAGTGTTGTATGGCATTGAAGCTTGTTTGGAGGTTTGTTACCACAGTGTCCAATGAAGGGCCAGATGTATACAAAATGGTGTCGTCCGCATAGAGGTGGATCCGAGCGTCATCAGCAGCAAGAGCGACATCATTGATATACACAGAGAAAAGAGTCGGCCCGAGAATTGAACCCTGTGGCACCCCCATAGAGACGGCCAGAGGTCCAGACAACAGGCCCTCCGGTTTGACACATTGAACTCTATCTGAGAAGTAGTTGGTGAACCAGGCGAGGCAGTCATTAGAGAAACCAAGGCTATTTAGTCTGCCAATAAGAATGCGGTGGTTGACAGAGTCGAAATCCTTGGCCAGGTCGATGAAGACGGCTGCGCAGTACTGTCTTTTATCGATCGCGGTTATAATTTCGTTTAGGACCTTGAGCGTGGCTGAGGTGCACCCATGACCAGCTCGGAAACCGGATTGCAGAGCGGAGAAGGTACGGTGGGATTCGAAATGGTCGGTGATCTGTTTGTTAACTTGGCTTTCAAATACTTTCAAAAGGCAGGGCAGGATGGATATAGGTCTGTAACAGTTTGGATCTAGAGTGTCACCCCCTTTGAAGAGGGGGATGACCGCGGCAGCTTTCCAATCTCTGGGGATCTCAGACGTTACAAAAGAGAGGTTGATCAGGCTAGTAATAGGGGTTGCGACAATTTCGGCGGCTAATTTTAGAAAAAGGGTCCAGATTGGTAAGGTGTCACATTATTTCATTCTCTCAGCTCAATAAGGTGTCACATTATTTCATTATCTCAGGCCAATGTCTGCTCTGTTTCAGGAAGTATCCAGAAGGGTTGCTTCCTCTTTTCTTTGTTATATGTATAAAAATAAAAAAAACGGAATGTTTACAGATTGCCATTAGCGATGGCAAGTGTTTCCAATCATCACATTATTCATTTTCATAGCCTGAATGGTAGGACTGAATGGTAGGAAGTTAGTGGCCGTAGGATACAAAAGGAAATGCGTGGTATTAAGATACAATGGGTCTCCAATAAATATATGAAAGAGAAGATCCAATGGGTTAAATGAGTGATATTAAAGGGATAGTTCAGCCATATTAGATTAAAGAAGTGAGTTAAATAGACGAGTTGGCTGACAACATCACGAAAATGATGCACGTGCATCGATGAGGCAGAAGGCCATGGGGTGTTATGATTCTGAATGGTCAGATAGCTAGCAACAATGACAAGAAGCTGCCATGTGGGGAATTGTAGGAGGCTCGTTTCAGCATCGTTGTACACTATATAATCAAAAGTATGTGGACACTCCTTCAAATTAGTGGATTCGGCTATTTCCATCACACCTGTTGCTGGCAGGAGTATAAAATCGAGCACAATGCCATGCAATCTCCATAGACAAACAGTGGCAGTAGAATGGCCTTACTGAAGAGCTCAGTGACTTTCAACGTGGCACTGTCATAGGATGCCACCTTTCCAACAAGTTAGTTCGTCAAATTTCTGCCCTGGTCAACTGTAAGTGCTGTTATTGTGAAGTGGAAATGTCTAGGAGCAACAACGGCTCAGCTGCGAAGTGGTAGGCCACACAAGCTTACAGAATGGGACTGCCGAGTGCGAAAGTGCAACACTTACTACCGAGTTCCAAACTCCGTCTGGAAGCAACGTCAGCACAAGAACCGTTCGTCTGGAGTTTCATGAAATGGCAGAGCAGCTGCACACAAACCTAAGATCACCATGCGCAATGCCAAGCGTCGTCTGGAGTGGTGTAAAGCTTGCCGCCATTCTACTCTGGAGCAGTGGAAACATGTTCTCTGGAGTGATCAGTCACGCTTGACCATCGGGCAATCCCGACAGACGAATCTGGGTTTGGCGGATCCCAGGAGAACGCTACCTGCCCCAATGCATAGTGCCAACTGTAAAGTTTGGTGGAGGAGAAATAATGGTCTGGGGCTGTTTTTCTATGGTTCAGGCCCCTTAGTTCCAGTGAAGGGAAATCTTAACGCACCAGCATACAATTACATTCTAGACGATTCTGTGCTTCCAACTTTGTGGCAACAGTTTGGGAAAGCCCTTTCCTGTTTCAGCATGACAATGCCCCCGTGCACAAAGCGAGGTCCATACAGAAATGGTTTGTCGAGATCGTGTGGAAGAACTTGACTGGCCTGCACAGAGCCCTGACCTTAACTCCATTGAACACCTTTGGGATGAATTGGAACACCGACTGCAAGCCAGGCATAATCGCCCAACATCAGTGCCCGACCTCACGAATGCTCCTGTGGCTGAATGGAAGCAAGTCCCTGCAACAATGTTCCAACATCTAGTGGAAAGCCTTCCCAGAAGAATGGAGCCTGTTATATCAGCAAAGGGGGGACCCTTTGTGGACACCTGCCCGTCAAATGAAATGTTTGACGGGCAGTTGTCCACATACTTTTGGTCATGTAGTGTATCTTGTTATTGATACTATGTCTTGTTTTGAGGTGTTTTGACTGATTCGATAGCTAACCAACTGTAATGACATACTTGAGAGACAACAAGTGCTCTTTGCAGAGTAAATATAGTGTTCATGTTGTCAACAGTCTAAGCCAACCATGTCTGTTTTGCCCCATAGTTGCGCACGCGTTTGGTTTTGTTGCTAAGCAACCAGTCCCATCTATCAGTGCTATAACCTACTAAGCACTGACTGCTAGTAATTGGGTCCCCAGGTCCAAGAGCACCACTAGATTTAGTTTTAGAGAACTGTAGTGCTCTTTCTACATTGTCTTCTCGCCGGTCTTCAGGTGCGACAGGAGATGGAGGAGCAGGTGGCTCAGAAGTCCAGTGAGCTGGAGCAGTACCTGCAGCGCGTCCGGGAGCTGGAGGACATGTACCACCGCCTGGAGGACGCACTGGAGGACGAGAAACGTGCCAGGCAGGACGAGGAGACGGTCCGCAGGCTCCAGGCCCGGTTGGTGCTCCACACACAGACAGGCTGTACATAGAAAGGGATACATGCACACTCTTGAGATGAATTGATGGACTTGATTGTCTCTCTGACTGAGTCACTGTAATTGTCTGACAAGTGGAGTGAGTCAGTAGGGAAGAGGGTGACACACACACACACACACACACACACAAAGGCATGTACATAGACATAGGCAACAGTCCCTCCAGTCCAGAAACCTTTCCTTCCTTCCTCTGTGCTGACATTTGTGCTTCTCTGGGCTCAGCACTTTTCACATTGTGTTCTAAATGGGGATGTGTGTGTGTGTACTCCTGGGTGGATATGTGTGCAATGTCATTGTGTTTCGATCAACATGTTTTGTTTGTATATTACACATTCTGAACTAACTGTTCCATGTACTTAAAGTACATCTCTCCAGGTTACTAGAGGAGGAGGCTGTTCCCTGTACTTAAAGTATGTCTCTCCAGGTTACTAGAGGAGGAGGCTGTTCCCTGTACTTAAAGTATGTCTCTCCAGGTTACTAGAGGAGGAGGCTGTTCCCTGTACTTAAAGTAAGTTTCTCCAGGTTACTAGAGGAAGAGGCTGCCAAGCGGGCTGAGCTGGAACAGATCCACCTCCACCAGCAGAGGGCCATCTCTGAGACGGAGGCGGAGAAGCAGGAGCTGCGGAAGGAGAGAACAGCCCAGGAGAATGCCCTGCAGGCCGCCATGCTGCAGCTGGAGCAGCTGGAGAATGAGAGGCAGGGGGTGCTGGAGCAGTACCAGGTGAGACATGTTTTAGGGCATGGTTCACGGACAAAGATTCACTGCCCATTTCTGGACTAAAATGTACTTTGAACAGAGATTCTAAAAGCTTTTCAGTTCAGGAGTAGGACATCGTCTTTTCTTTGTTTGTCACAGGAGGTAGTGCAGAAACTGGAGGATGCAGCGAAGAACACCAGGACCTGGAAACATAAAGTGGCCCACCATGAGGGGTTAGTCCACCTCATTCAACCAGGTAAAACCACACTATATTACTGTACATTTTCCTCCTTTAAATCAATACTCTCTATTCATTCTTCTAAAATCTAAAATTGCTTCCTCTCCTCATTTCCTTTCCTTTGTCTGAAGTGATGTGAATGAACTTTCTGATTTGTCTGCACTGATGTGAATGAACGTTCTGATTTGTCTGCACTGATGTGAATGAACTTTTTGATTTGTTTTCTCAGGATCGAAGGGGCCTCAGAAGATCACTAACTGGGGCCCAGCGGCCTTCACTGAGGCAGAACTGAGCCTGAGGGAGAAAGACTGGCAGGAGAGGAAGAACCGACCCGCTCAGACCCAGTAGAGCTCCCATTCCCACAGTCAGCACACTCATGGTTGCTGGAACATTGATGCAATGTTGCCATCAGTGTGCGATGTTGCGTCTTCAGCATTCATTGACCAACTCAAAAGAAAACAGGGAAGGCAGGCTTGTTTTTACACAGATACCATGGTTGTGTTCACTAGGCACCAAATGGAAGACAACTAACTGAAACGGCGAGGGCCTACCTGGACTTGTCCAATACGAAAGGCTCATTTTTGTTTTCCGTTGCAAAGCGCTTTGAAATGTTTTCTGTTGCGTCCCCTAATGAACACAACCTAGTTCAGAGCAGGTGCTGCACAGATCTTGATACTACCTGAATAGCCTGAGAGGAAAATGAACAGTCAGATTAAAATTGCTTTCATATGAAGGAATAAAGGAGCTGCACACTTGACACTAATAATTCAATGTCTGTGGGGAAGGCGGAGTGTGTTCTGAAACGGTAGATTCCTTTATCAAAATGTTTTGGAGCATGTTGGTGTGTTTAGATTTTTCCTAAGATTTCACAATTGTTTGTGTATTATTAAAATGTTAAAACTACAGCTTGCATACATTTTAGGGTTACTGTTTTTGGTTCCGTTGCCAAAGTGATAGAACTTATAGCACTTAAATAGCCCATGTAAGTATGAACAAAACTCCATGATAACATCATGAAATGACAATTCAAGAAAATCTAATGACTGCAGCTTATCTCACTAACTAGCCCATCATACTGTACTGCTCCCTGTATTAAATGTAATTTTTGTGTACACATGTAACCCTCTCACCAGGCTCGAATTTGACTCTCACGATATTACCTTACTTAGAATATCTGAACAGCATCTGAACAGCATGGGATATTAGGTGAGAAGGACATCTCCAATAAGAATCCCTATTGTAAACTTGCTAGGGTGAAAAAATCAGGATTTCCCTTCAAAACTCTGTAGGTATGGTTTTGTTCTCTCTTTATCGTTTCCTTTAGTAATTTTCCTTCACCAACCCCACTAACATCTCTCCTCTCCCTTCTTTCAACCTTTCCCTCTCTTTTCTATCCCAGCAACCAGTCCACTCTCCCATTGGCCACAACGTAACAAGTTACCTCATTGGTCAAAACATTAACAAGATACGTGGGAAACTTAAACTTAAAAGTAAACCAACCTATTCACTTGTACATTTTTGAAACATTGCTTCAAAAGAAATGGATTAACGACATTACAAATCAGGAGCAATTCGATCACCTTTTAAATCTAATACCAATTCATTATAACAAATCAACTCTATACTTGGTTTTAGCAAGGGTATTACACACATACTGTAAGAAATAGGGCATTTTGCAACATTACACTTTAAGCATTGTTGCTAGCAAATTACAGGGCTTTGTACCGCGGTGCCAGAACCATGATCATGGGGGATATGGAGTTGTTGTTGAACTTTTGGTATTTTGTATTCTTTAATGTGTGTAAATCAATGAAGACTGAACCCTGTAATAAAACATTACATCAATCTTAAACAGTAGTTTTGTGCAATTGTTGCAAGTAGATCTGATTGTTGATATATAATTTAACAATGTTCATAATAGAACACAATAGACATCACAGGAGGTTGGTGGCACCTTAATTGGGGAGGACGGGCTCATGGTAATCGTTGGAGTGGAATTAGTGGAATGGTATCACATAAATCGACCACATGGTTTCCATGTCCTCCAGGGGGTACTATAGTTTCAGAAAAGGCAGGCTATTTGGTCATCATCTCCTACAAAAGGGTTCCCCAGCAGGCAGCCCACAGGCTTTTATTTGGCCTCCCAAGTTTTCTGAGCAAAAAAAATAAAATGTATTTATTATTATTATTATTATTATTATTATTATGTATTTTTTTATGGTTGGACATAAAATACTGTAAAAACACCAGGAAATCAGCTCCAAGTGATTTGAATTTTGGAAATCTGTTCCCAAGTATTCCCACGCATAATAGACAGACGATCGTATATACAAATGTAAGCAAGTTTTGAAATGATGTTTTAGTCAAATATTATATCTGTTTGGGCTTCTTGCGGTCAATTTGCAGTCTACAATTTATTTGTAAGTATGTTCCGGCCCCCCGACCATCTGCTAAAGAAAAAATCGGACCGCGACTGAATCTAGTTGATGATCCCCTACAACATTAATTAAAGTAAACTATGTCATGAACACAACCTGTTGTGCTGTCAACAGTATGTGTGTGCGTGTGCACGTGCGTGTGCGTGTGTCAGTGATGTTTTTATTTCCATTACTTCACTGCACAAACCCGCCACTTTCCAAAATAAAATAGAATCTTGTCTTCTCCGTTTACACAGGCAGCCAAGTTCTGATCTTTTGCCCAATTATTGTAGAAAGAGCTAAACTGATTGGTCAGAAGACCAATAAGTGGGAAAAGATCAGAATTGGGCTGCCTGTGTAAACAAAGCCAAGTACACTTAGATGCAAACCAAGATTATCTGCATTGTTTAGTATTTATCTGCTGAAAAACTTTAATTAACAATCTTTCATATTTTAAATAAATATAGTTTTCATAGCTTTTCTGGCCAAATCTCTGGACTAGAAGATCCCCTGAAGGGGCTCTTTTTCTCTAGTAAGTGGCGACAAAACGTATTCTTTGGCTGCAAAGAGGGATAGACAGCAGGTCAAGTGTAAAAACAAAGAGAGGGAGGGAAGAATAAAGTCTAAACATCCCAAACTCTCAAAAGCCAATCAATCAAGCTAATCTGTTCTCCCCAATAGATACCCCTATATTAACTATTTAATTCACTCTGTCTTCCTTACATATCGTGCAATCGTTGTTCATTTGCTCGAGTGAAAGGAGCGAGGGGGCAGTAAAAAAAGAAGAACTAAAGATGTGCTCCAGATGCGCTTCACACACACACACACCACAGCTGTACTAACACTGCTTTAAGCAACAGGGCAGCTTGTCATTAACGCCAAACACCACTCCGTCAACCCCCTTCGTTCCCCTCTCCACCCCCAGCAGAGTCTGCATCGCATCATGCCTCCTTAAACTTCCTAAAATTCATCAGCTCAGGGTTATGAGGCCTGTAGCCTGAATACCACATTCCAGGGACATGATGCAAAGCAGAGAATGCAATAAATTCCCCCTCTGATCTGGAATCCATCGGGGGCCTGTGCGTGTGTGTGTATGTGGGGTGTGTGTGTGTGTGTGTGTATGTGTGGTGTGTGCGTGTGCGTGTGAGAGAGGGAGTGAGTGAGTGAGTGAGTGAGTGAGTGAGTGAGTGAGTGAGTGAGTGAGTGAGTGAGTGAGTGAGTGAGTGGGTGGGTGGGTGGGTGGGTGAGTTTGTGTGTGTCTGAGGCCCCGACATGTCTCAGTGTATCCACAAAAATGGAATCCATCGGGGGTCTATGTGTGTGTGTGTGTGTGTGTGTGTGTGTGTGTGTGTGTGTGTGTGTGTGTGTGTGTGTGTGTGTGTGTGTGACCTTGTGTCTCGGTGTATCCGCAGAGTGAGATACGCAGGGGTGGAAAAAGCCTGCAAGGTATTGCAAATACATACAATTTGGAAAGACGAAGGAATTTCAGGTATTTGCTTTGAAGGGGTATTCCAAGTTAATGAGCCTCGAGTCTCTCTGGACCTGCTCTGGTTGTTTGGAGTGTAGGATATGCAAATAGAAGGGTATACCGAGTGGTGCAGTGGTCTAAGGCACTGCATCTCAGTGCTTGAGGCGTCACTACAGACCCCCTGGTTCGATTCCAGGCTGTATCACAACCGGCCGTGATTGGGAGTCCCATAGGGCGGTGAACAATTGGCCCAGCGTCGTCTGGGTTTGGCCGGTGTAGGCCGTCATTGTAAATAAAAATGTGTTCTTAACTGACTTGCCTAGTTAAATAAATACACTGGTATTGCTCCATCAAATTTTATTTGTCACATGCCCCGAATACAAAAGGTGTAGACCTTACCGTGAAATGATTACTTACAAGCCCTTAACCAACAATGCAGTTCAAGAAATAGAGTTAAGAAAATATTTACTAAATAAAATAAAGTAAAAAATAAAATAAAATAAAAAGTAATACAATTAAATAACAATACCGAAGCTATATACTGGTACCGAGTCAATGTGCGTGGGTACATGTTAGTCAAGGTAATTTGTACATGTAGGTAGGGGTAAAGTAGGGGTAAAGTGACTATGCATAGATAATAAACAGCGAGTAGCAGCAGTTTAAAAACAAAGGGGGGGGGGGGGGGTCAAGGGGTCAATGTAAATAGTCCGGGTGGCCATTTTATTAATTGTTCAGCAGTCTTATGGCTTGGGGGTAGAAGCTGTTAAGGAGCCTTTTGGACCTAGACTTGGCGCTCCGGTACCGCTTGCCATGCGGTAGCAGAGACAACAGTCTATGACTTGGGTGACTGGAGTCTTTGACAATCTTTTGGGCCTTCCTCTGACACTGGCTAGTATATAGGTCCTGGATGGCAGGAAGCTTGGCCCCAGTGAAGTACTGGGCCGTACCCACTACCCTCTGTAGTGCCTTACGGTCGGATGCCGAGCAGTTGCCATACCAGGCGGTGATGCAACTGGTCAAGATGCTCTCGATGGTGCAGCTGTATAACTTTTTGAGGATCTGGGGACCCATGCCAAATCTTTTCAGTCTCCTGAGGGGGAAAAGGTGTTGTCCTGCCCTCTTCACAACTGTCTTGGTGTGTTTGGACCATAATAGTTTGTTGGTGATGTGGACACCAAGGAACTTGAAACTCTCGACCCGCTCCACTACAGCCCCGTCGATGTTAATGGGGGTGTGTTCGGCCCTCCTTTTCCTGTAGTCCACGATCATCTCCTTTGTCTTGCTCACGTTGAGGGAGAGGTTGTTGTCCTGGCACCATACTGCCAGGTCTCTGACCTCCTTCCTATAGGCTGTCTCATTGTTGTCTGTGATCAGGCTTACCATTTTTGTGTCGTCAGCAAACTTAATGATGGTGTTGGAGTCGTGGGTGAACAGGGACTACAGGAGGGGACTAAGCACGCACCCCTGAGGGGCCCTCGTGTTGTGGCAGATGTGCTGTTGCCTACCCTTACCACCTGGGGGTGGCCCGTCAGGAAGTCCAGGATCCAATTGCAGAGGGAGGTGTTTAGTCCCAGGGTCCTTAGCTTAGTGATGACCTTTGTGGGCACTATGGTGTTGAACGCTGAGCTGTAGTCAATGAACAGCATTCTCACATAGGTGTTCCTTTTGTCCAGGTGGGAAAGGGCAGAGTGGAGTGCGATTGAGATTGCGTC